TGTAAGATGTTGAGATTAAAACGTTTCAATAAATACCTCATACATTATAAATTGAGACGGGCGAGAGAACAGAACAAGAACCGACTTTGAAGTTGACCATGAATGACACTGCAAAAGCTGTTGTTCACCTTTCCTCACGGTGAATCCCAAATAGCCGAGGATTCGAATAATCGGTGAGAAGAACCGGGATCATTGAACAATGTACGAACGTCAAAAAGTTTCGAGAATAAAAAAAAAGGCAACACCGAGGCGATTAATTCTCCATTCCTGTAATAACCCGACATGTCGTTTACGTCTTAATTTCCATTTTGCTGCGTCTCGTAATGTTTCAATCGGTTTCACCAGAGATTGCGGAGAAATGTCGCTGAAGAAAGCTGTATGTACCGTTTGGATACCGAGATTAATGATGGTATCGATTGCATTAATGTGCATCTCCATTTAACCATCACTACTTGCGTTATTTACTGACGGTGCGAGCAGTCAATACTGGTATTAAAACGTCAGAGTAAAATCGGGTAATTAGAAATATCGCAATTGAAAAAAAAATTAATACGCGAATAAAGTAGATTTTATATTTGATTCAAGTATATGCGTTGGACTTGGAATTTATATTTCTAGGAAGTCGCGGTGTGGATAATCATATTTTTCATGTTTTAATAACAAATCGCTTGCCGACGGTGCCGTTTGATTTTTAATAATTAATTGTTAAGTATTGATGGGAATTTTTTTGCTTTAAAATTTTTTTCGGTACGGGAAACTAGTCTATTTCTTGAGAAAGTGGTTTTTCTTCTGGAAAAAAAAAAACCAAGCGGAATGATTCCCCGGGGCCGACAGCGGTGTGTCGGCTCAACGTTGGCGTGCAACCAGCCACGATATGAGTAATGGTGCGTGTTCGCGTTTTACCCCAAAGAGGGGTAAATTCGGCAAGTCACTCTGCCCTAAAGTATTCGCGTCCAACAACACCGAAAAACCCATGGTGCTAGGGCAGCTGGCCCGCGCCTTTTCCAACGGGGGAGAAAAACTATAAAACCCCGTGGGGCTTAAACTCCATTTTCTCGACGTTGAATTCTAACATGGCGGCACAAAACACGCGTGACTCTTGTCCACAAAATATTGATTCCCTCGGGGGATCCAGACGAGAATTTCTGGCCCGCCCTGCGGGAGATGAATTCCCTCGGCTCTTTTTTTTTTATATATACGACCGGTGAATACCGATTTTTCGATGTTGAAAAATAATAAGAGAGAAATCTTGGGAACGGAATGGTGAGGAGTGCCTCGTGTTATTAACTCGACGCCTCCGACCAACGGGAAAATTTTGTTATACAGATTCTATTAGAATTTCAGGTGGAAAATTGGAAATCGAGTCTCAGATTTCGGAAAATATTGAATACTATTTATTTATTATTTATTTACCGCTTATTTGATTAAATAAATAGTGAATAACCGGAAATATTTGTTCGCGACAAAATGAAGAAATAATTAAAAATCGAGATTTCAAAAAATTGGAGTAAAATGGCGTTCAATTAATTCCCGAGATCAGGGGAGATCTTTGAGAATCAATAAAAAAATGGCGGACCAATGAATTTTAAATCGCGAGATTCAACGAAATTATTGGATTCCCGCGTATCCATCGCCGCCATTGTCACGAAATTCATCAAAAATATATCCAATAATTTTTTACCCCCACTCTCTCGAGTTCTCCTCCACTCAGACATTCCATTATTACTGGGGTCTAACCGTGACAAATTGTAACATCAAGCGGAAATTAAAAAGCCTCTTCGAATAAATTGCATTCGATTGCCCAAACGCCGACCATTTCCACCGGCATCTACACGATCTAATGTCAATTGTCATAATAAATAATGTCAATTGTCATTCGAAAAACTCGACTGCTCGAGGAGCTTTCCCCATAGAAAAAAAAAAAGACCGCGTCACGAGGGTCTCGCGTCAAAAAATCAATATATCGCGTCTAATTTTTTCCCACGATCAATAAATAATGAAAAATAATATAAATATTTGAATTTGAAGATGAAATAAAATTTGACTCGAGTGAATTGTTCCGCCCTGATCGTCTGGGTAAAGAAAAAAAATCGGAGTAAATGGAGTTTTTGCTATCGAAAACCGGCGGATGATCCATTAATCAAGCAGCAATACAACCGAGTGCTCAAGTCGATCGATCGACCCATCGAGATTGTTCCGTAATGAGTCTTGCCTCTCTCTTCTCCACCGGAGTATTTCGATATCTCAGGGCCAGGAATTGTCGGGAGAATGCTTTTATTATTGCCCTGTGTCAAATGTAATGCGGTACTGAGTTCTAGGAGACGGTGGACCCACCGTTGAGCTCATACTCGTGGAGATCGGTATCGACAATCGGTCTCGTTTCTCATTTATAGTCCGCGGGTTTGTTCCTTCGGCGATCATTGTGACACGGAAAGTATCGAGGCCATTTTATATTTTTCAAGGGGTGAAATTTCTATTTTTCCTTTTTGCTTGATTCAAGTCGAATGTTCAACTTGATTGAAGTTGAATCATCAATTCGATTCAAGTTGAATCTTCAACTTGGCTCGAGTTAAATCTTCAACTTGATTCAAATTGAATTCTCGATTTAATTCAAGTAAAATCCTCAGGTGAAAGTAAATCAAATCTCCAACTTGATTCAAGTTGAATCTTCAGCTTGATTCAAGGTAAGTCCTCGACTTGACTCAAGTTAAATCATCGATTGAATTCAAGTTAAATCTTCAACTTGATTCAACTTGAATTATTAATTTGATTTAAGTTGAATCTGCAACTTGATTCAAGTTTAATTCCCAATTTTACTCAAGTCAAATCCCCAACTTGACTATCTGATAAATTCAATTCTACTCATATCAAACAGAAATTCCAGATTGAATCAGAAAAACAGTTTTTGGGTGTGGCACTGGTGAAAATGCCTCGATCCTCATCGTGTAACCCTTCGATCAATCGACTAGAACATAACTTTCGAAATCTACGGCCCTAAAGTTTAAAAAAAAAAACAACCCGTCACTTTGTTTTTGTGAAAGACAATATTAAAGGTCAAATTAACATAGATCAATTGTTTTTTTACCGTTTATCCCGGTATTGCCCGGATTTTCAATGTTTTCCCGTGGAATATCGAGTGGTGGCGCATGCCCTTGGCGTTTCCCCCCCACGAATCCTCACATGATTGGCTGATCAATTGCCCCAGTCTTTCAACGGGATATAGAAAAGGGCGGGGCTTTGTACGTCAAACCGCGGACGCATGCGTCATGTTCGACGTTAAAACATCTGCCACGTGCGCACTGAGGAGATTATTTTTATTACCTTTTCCGGGTGTGTACGTGTGTAATATACACAACCGCAGAACAATGAGAATTTATCGGGAATAAAAAATATACCGGAGGGGAATGGCGGGCGCCATGTGTACGCGCAGTTGGTTGATGGACTCTTCCGTTTTTTTTTTCGAAACTGATAGAAATTTTTCGTCAAATCTTCGAATACTTGATTTTTCAATTACTCATCGATTTATTTGACTGATAAATAATTTGATAACACGAGAAATCCGGAAATTCCGAGAATTGCAATTTTTTTTAATCACTTCAAATTTTTTAATTATATTCAATTTCAATTATTTGTCAATTATTTATCAATTATTTATTGTGACGAATGAATCTATATCGAGAGGAATGAATAATCGATGAAAATAAAAATTTCAATGAGAAATATTTTTTCCGTGTATTTTTTTGAATTTTGAAAATATATTAAATGGACCGATATTTCATATATTTTTGATATATTTCATGAAATTCCAAAAATTCTGCAATTTCACGTGAATATTTATTATTATTATTATTATTCATTTATTTATTGATTATTCATTATGATAAATAAATGGATATCGCGAGGATGAGATAAATGATGAAAATTCAAAGTTCAAGTCGAAATATTTATTCTGTAATTTTGACTGAATACTTCTCTCGGTTGAAGCCCCCCAAAAATAAAATCCGTGAATTGACGGACATAAAAACAAAGTGACTTCCCCAGAATGTAATTAAACTCAACCGTGATGAGGGGAAAGGAGAGACAAGAGGTTGGAGAAAGGTAGGCCGGTTTCTGGAGGCCACTCCCCAGGTAAATCCTCCACAAACTCGCATCAACATACGACAAAATAGTTAACGCATCGTAAATGCATTCTGCAACGCTCCTCAACTGAGTTAATTGCGCGTCTCGCATGAGCTTAATTTCTCACATCAACTGGTTAATTACGTCGGAATATTTTCACGAGCGGTTGATATCAAAGCATATTGGATATCAAAATATTTTTCTTTCAACTCGATTCCGTTTGGGCAGTGCCATTGTCTCCATTGTCTCTAATTACCGATTAAAATTCTCACCTTGTAACGGTTACACATATTCATCAATACGCGTTGGATTTTATTCACATTAACCTATTGTTTAACCCCACACGGAGAGAAAAATCTATGAATTTTTATAGTGTCATTCCGATAAAAATTATTGTGCTGTTTTACAATCTCGGTGTAAATTCCAGGTATAAGAAAAATTACTTGCTATCCAGCAAAATTTCTTCATCAGACGGGAAAAACGTATTTATCGGCCAAGTAAAAATTTCAACTTCGGCAAGGATCGGGAACATTCGGTGTTCATCGTCAACCAATCATATTGCGTTAAAAAATGTTTGGAAAAAATGCTGTAGCACAGTAAAAATTGAAAGAGAGTACAAATAAAAATATCGGTCTGGATAGGAATTTTTAAACGATTTCTATCAATTTTTTCTTCAAATTCAAATAAAAAATTATAGACTTTCAAATTTTATAGTGCTGTTTCGTAAATTTTACGCTATTAATAACAATTTTTATTTGTCAACCAAAGAAATTCTGGTATCCTATAATTTTGCATTTTTCGTAGACTTTTCTCCCCGTGCATCTGAATAATAATTCCGAGACCTTTCGACACATGAAAGAATACTAATATAAATAACTCACCGGTCTCCAAGTCGATGGTGTAAGACAGTCCAGCCCAGGGATCCTCTTCCTTCAGCTCCTCCGTCTCCTCCTTGTCCTGCCAAAAAGAAAAAAGAATAAAAATAAATAATACATAAATAAAATTCACCCATAAATCCCAAAGAGAAAAGAATGAAAAATTAAAAAAAATCGTCGAATCATGAAAATATCCTCTCGACCCATCGGTGCAGACATCATAGAGATGTCATAATCAAAGGGCCCTCACGTACCCTGAATAAAGGACATTGCTGGAGGGATTCCCAGTGTACAGGGCATCACATTGAAACGCCACCCAGTGAAATGAGTTTAATGAAAACACCATTGTACTCCATCAGTACCATTAATCATAAACGCAAGACCCTGATAGTGAGACCCGACTGACGCCCTTTCCCTTCCCTCTCTGCCCTCTCTCTCGCCATCCCCTCTCCATCCCCTTTACACCCTCTCCCACCGCACCGTATCATCACCCCCCCCTCCCATCATCCCACCCACCCCCCTTTCATCATTTATTCTAGTTGTTGAGTGCTGCGTTATTTTCAATTCTGATATACCACCAGAGGATTGAAAGTTAAAAAAAAAAATCGACGATTTATGGATGAATTTTTCATTATTTTCCTCAACAACAAATTTTCAATCCAAGTCGTCCATCAATTCTCCTCATCAATCCGTAAATAATGATCGAATAGTACCGCCATTTTGATTATTTCAGAGATTCCCGGAACATCATCAGAGAGAGAGAGAGAGAGAGTGAGAGAGATATGGGGGAAAAAAAAAAGAGGGCAAAAGGCCGTTGAGTGCCGCCCACTCTCGTTGTGTTCGCCTGGCGCGTTTTCAATTTCCAGAACCATTAATACATCCCCAGAATCCTCCTGTTCCCCCCCTCCCCCCTCCTCAACCCCCCGTGGAATATCCCCGGTCGTCTTTTCTGCTCCAATCTCCTTCGTGTTCGCAGGTCTATGCTTTGTGGCCCAGCCTCCTCCACTCACACGTTAACACCAACGAGAACTGGTCCATTCAGAACGCACCCTTCTTTAGATTCCACTGGGGTATACGCGATTTACAAACATTTATCATCTTGTACCGAGACTTCCCCTTTTTCCTTTTCCCCTTTGTTGGGAATAAAAATGGATGTACTCATCGCTTTATCATTTGTTAAATCATTAACTTCAATAATCACGGGTAAATAATCGTCTAACTATATATTTCCACCGAATTATTCTATTAAATATATTCCATTCTGTAATTTGAGAGGTTATGATTATAGTACAGAGACGCCATCGCCTGGCGGCGCTGATTGCAATCGCAAAATCATAAAATAATTCCAAGGAATGTTTTTTTCATTAATTGCTTCTTGTTTAATTACACTTATCAATGATTAAGATTGTTCGTCGACCCTAGATCAATTTTCTATAACGATTTTACCGTTTCTATCTTCTCGATACCGATCGCGGCGTAAATTCAGATATTTTTTTTAACGCACTGGAATTTTTTTCCATGTCCCTTCCCGTATTGATACAGTTCTATTGATGGATAATAAAATGACTCCACGTCGGTGTAATTTCGTTACAAAGGGATTAGAATGTGTTATCCATCGGGAATACCCTGAGGAGGAAGACAGAGACGAATGAAAATCGAATATGAAAAAATGAGGAGCGTCTCGAGAGGGCCCAATGCAGAGTCATTGTCGGGTGGGCCTTTTGTTAACTGGTACAGTCCGACATTTCGAGTTGCCTTTGAAGATCTTCGGTCAAGATCCACTTCTTTAATCCCTGTGTTCATTCATTTTCAAAATATCGGTAACAATTGGCGCTCTATCGACGGATGAATTCCTAGCGATGATTGATTGTTACGAAATTTCGGTTCGAGTTGAAATTTTGTAAGGACCTTTTTTGTAGCTCTCAATTTGATCTGCAAAAAAGGTTCTAACGAAAATTTCACTATCAGCCCTGACTTCCGAGTTATCAATTGAAAATTAATCAACAGAGAAAATCGGTCCGGGCCTCATTAGCACTCGCTATTGAATTATTGGAAAATATTGGCGAATCAGTGGGAGATACAAAAATTATTGTAACGACCATTTTTGCAGCTGGCGATTAGCTCCACAAAAAAGGTTCTAACAAAAATTCCACTATCAGTCCTAAATTCCGAGATATTAATTGAAAACGGATCATCAAGAAAAATCGACTCAAATCGCTTCACCGCTGGCTACTCAATTATTCCAAAATATCGCCGAATCAATGAGAGATACAAAAATCTTCGTAATAACATTTTTTGTAGCTCCTAGCTAGCTCTACAAAAAAGATTTCGACAAAAATTTCGCTATTCGCCCTAAATTCGGAGATATCAGGCGTAAAATCTCGTCATTCACTTCAGGAGTGAGAAAAAAATTCACGAAGAAGCACCAGAGATTTGGCGCCAAGTCAAGGCCCCAAAGCAGGTCAGAAGATTCAGCGAGATAAGGGGATTGAGGAGATTTAAAGATTACGAGATGGGGATTTTAGTGCGGGACGTGTCTAATCTGCCCCAACGATTCAAGGATCCATCGACTTAGTGCACTCTCCCAGGGGCTGACCGATTGCTGCTGAACTACTGATAAAGTCACAAGTCCCCCACCTATCGGGGGATCATGCGAGTAAGATTGTGATATCTGGAATGTCCAGAGTGGATATTACCGAGTTGTGCGACAGATATATCGATCGGTGGAATTTTTTAATCGAGATATCTCGACGAGATAGCCACCCCGGAGGAACCGGAATTCCTTTGGAGACGATGGACAATTCCAAAAGGATCATTTTTATCTGGTCGTGGGGTCTGAGTCAATAATCATCACGGGGGACTCACTAAATACCCCGTTTGGGCCTGATGAAATCATAATATCGCTGGAGGTGAGGGCACGGATTGTAAAAATGTCATTCAAGTCGATTGTCTGAATCAAGTCGAAAAATCTGGGTCAATCGAGTTCCAATTGTATGATTTAGGCGGTTTAACTTGATTTGACTTTTAATTGCTATTTTTTAAAATTGATTTAAATCAAGTTCGACTTGACTGATGTCCATTTTTTCAAATGACTCAAGTTATTTTTTATTTTTATTTATTTTTAATTTAATTCAAGTCAAATTTTCAACTTGATCCGAAAGAATTCTTTCACGTGATTCAAGTCGAACTTCAAGTTGATTTAAGTCAAGTCATAAACTTTATTCAAGTTGAATTTTCCATTTGATTCAAATCAAGTTTTCAACTTGATTCAAATAAATTTCTCGACTCGAGATATTTCCATTTCAAATGATCAACTTTTTGAGTCATTCGACTTGAATCAAGTGAATTTTTGAAGAATTTTTTTTTTTTTTTGAAAATTGAAAAATCGGAGAAATCCAACTCACCTCGATTTTCGATGCATTGATTGCCTCCAAAGTCTTGAGTTTCTCGATTTCATCCGGTGAACTTTTCTCCGAAGTCGATGGACTCTGACTCACTTGATCCGGATCCACCAGTGGAAGTCCCAAATCAACATCCTGCTTCCACAGCACCTCGATCAGATCCATGTCCTGTAACATCCGGTCAGATAATTCAATAATCAACAATTCCCTGAGACGACCGAGCACTTGATAATTAACTCAGTGAATTCCTTCAATTACAAAACATCCGGGCATTAACCGGAACAAATTTGAACAATTTTCACCGGTCATTTGACACAATCATCGGTTCAAACTGTATGAATCATTTTTACTCCGACCTTTTTTGCCAAGTGGGAAGACGACAACTTTCCAATTTCACCTGCTGGTGGAACTGGAAAAATAATTACGGGAACATCTGAGCGTTTCGCATCGTTTGACGGAATTGTCGTCGGGTTAGAGATTGCTCTTGAGTTATAATTAACGATTTCTCTTCAATCGGGCGATTACCTCCGCTCAACATTTTTTCCACTCGAGAAAATGGCTTTTGAATTTTTTTAAATCGTATTACGATGGGATAATTAAAACAAGTTGGAAATTTCGCTCGGAAAATTTCGGAAAATTCATTTTTTACGATAATAATTCACAATTGGTTGGGAAAATTCATAGAGACTGAAAATTTTATCAGGAAAATGAGAGAAAATATGATTTTCACTCTGAAAATTCTCAATTTGATTAGAAAATTTATAGAATCCGTGAATTTTCCTCGGAAAATTCGCTTTTTGGTTTAAAAAATGGCAACCTATCAAAAAAATTAATATGAACGTAAAATTTCATTCGGAAAATTTCGGAAAAGTATAATTTTCACGTTGAAAATTCCTAATTCCATACTAAAATCAATAGAACCCATAAATTTCATTTTAAAAATTCCGAAAAATCCATTTTTCCGGAAAAAATTGAGAATTCGCTGGCGAGATTAATAGAATCTCGAAATTTCGTGTTGAAAATTTTCCAAGACCTTTCGTATTCTTCAATAAGAAAGGAAAAATGGTGGACTTGCGGTGAATGACGGTTCAACATCCATTAGAGAAATTACATTGACTCCTGGGAGTCAGGTACATCCCACCATTCGAGGAAAAGGGTTGTTACGTTAGTTACGGGTATCCTTCATCCCCCGAGACCGTTAACAAGATTACCCAGCAATTTGTACAGAATCCTCGAACCGATTCTCTCCGACAGAATTGCCCGTCGGGAACGGATTCTGCCCTTTCTCCATTGTTTTTTTTTTTTTTCTCCTAGTCCCCCGTCAAATCCCAGAGATGGGGATCCTCTGGCGCAATGAAATTTATCGACGAGATAATGTAATATTCATGTTTAATACATAAAATGTTTATGCGGTGGGACGTGTTGTTTAGGTGCGATACATGAGGCGATAGTGTATGGGATAAATTGTGGGCGCGGCATGGATTCCCTGCTGAGACCAGTAAATATGGCCGACAAATTTAAACCCACGCCAAACTAGATCCGGACAGAGAGTTCCAGTAAAAATTACCGGAGGGTAACGTGAAAATTATGGGGCGAATTGTAATCAGCGGGGGGAATCGATAAAATTTGGATTCAAAATTGGACGAATTGTCACGTGAATTGTAATTAAAATTTATAATTATATAATGTATATAATATAATATAATATATAATTAAAAAAGTCTAATTAAAATTACTGGTCTAATGACTCACCGATTTGTCGACAAGTCGTACCGTCATTTTTACCCAATGATTCAGAAATTTTAGGGAACAGAATGTACGAGCGCTAGGTATATTAAAAATTGTTGGACCTTCATGAATTTGTTATTTATCAAGCACAAGTCGAGAATATTCGGGGATATTTTACCTGTTCGGGTTAAATAACGTAACGATATCGTACATTTTTTCCGTTAAATTTCGTTATTCACTGAGTAAATATTCCTAAATATTTCCTGATATTATTATTTAAATTTGAATTTGCAAATGATTAAAAAGGGAGAATAAATTCGGTAATTGTGGGCGAGTACTGACTTATTGACTCGGCAATTAGTGAGAGAAGTTGTAAAATAATGGAAAAGTCACGGGTTGAGGGGTTCTCAGGTCTCAGAAAATCCCTAGGCGACAACCCCATAAATTACTTAGTATAGTTGCAATGGGACTTAAGGTTTTGCGGTGGAGCAAAACTGTAGAATCGACCGCTAATGGAGCCTCAGGGGGTGCGTCACGCCCCATCTTCTGCCTCGAAAAAGCCTTTCTTTGCTATTCCAACCGCAACTCTTACCTCAAACCCGTCACTTCAACAATAAATCGTTATGTATTGAAATGAAAAATAGCTTCAACGCACTGACCTCACGCGCATCAGAATAAATCACGCGTTTATTACTTCCGTTATTTTAAATACGCGCGGCGGTCGATTGATGTGACTTCAAATATCGGACAAGATGAAATCTTACGGTTAATATCAATTATTTCTCCCTGAGGTGCATCAATGCGAATGAAATATCAGAGTCGTATTGTTTTTAAACCTAATGCAATTCCCAGTCGAGAAATTTTAAACTTTGATGAATTAATTTAAAAAATTGGTAACTAGGAGATGATTACATCGATCAGGGAATTTAATCTTGGCACCTTGAATGATGCCGATATTTAAATTTACATTTTCGTATGTCACATTCAACGGATTTGGTGATATCAAAATAATTTAACAATTACCCTTATCTCTGATTCCGTTATCGCGAATTAATGCCATTTTTTAATAGTGAAGAAATAGAAATTTCTTCTGGCGTCTCAAAATTTTTACGCGTTACAATATTCATTATCACTCCACATACCAATTGCTCACTTCAATTATTATTTACTTGGAGCAATATATAATCGTGTTGATTGACATATAATAACGCATTTAGTCACAACAATTATTTCGTCCCCTGGATAACCCAATCAAGAAAAATTCAACTTTCTCCGTCCTTTCACTCCAAAAACACCAGCCGCTTCCCATCAAGGCGGTAATTATTCCCAATTTCCGCTCCTCAACAATTATTCCGCCTCAAAAATATTTTCAATGCCTCCAGCTCATACCCACACTCTCCTTGTGATCCCAAACGTGAAATAAAAAAAAAAATTCGTTTCAGCCCAGCGCCCGCCAAAAATGCCCGTTTCCCCATAATTTCCGTCTTTTTCACATAAATTTCCTATGAAAATTCTCAGAGAGCCACAATGCGTTTAATTAAGTAAAAATAAAAAAATGAGAAATAAATAAAAAAAAATAGAAAATAAAAGACGTTTTTCTTCAGAGACGAGCGGAAAGTATGAAAGCGGCTGGCGTCCCCTAGGATACGAGTTCCCCTCGTTCTCCTTCGATCCCATCAGAATCATTAATCAAAATCCCCCCTCCCCCTATCCCCCTATCCCTGATAATCGTCCTCCCCCTCCAACGGAGCCCCGGAAAAAGCCGCCGCCATTGCCAGGGGTTCATGTGCGCGTTTCTACTACGCAGGGTAATTAAAAACATGGAAATTACAAACCCTCACCGAGGGCTCGTCAAATTTTCACGTCCAACCCTCTGGGGTGTGGCAATTCGACGGACAAAAAAAAATATCGCCTGTAATGAGGAAAAATTCATCGACCAGAAGTGGATTCCATGGATCGACGGCCTTTTTCGGGAAATATCGGGCAATCTAGGGGAGATAGCGATATTTTTAGTGGGACATTTTTTGGTGAGGGGGGTGAGAGCTACAAAAAAGGTATCTATGAAAATTTTTGTATTTCTGGTGGTTTTTGAGATATTCCTCGAAAATCCGCGTATTGATAATTCAATTAGTCAATTTTTTTCTCTTCGCTCCTGAATTTTTATTAACAATTCTCCAACAATTGAATAATTATGTAATCTGCAATTTTCGGAGGGTAATGAAGCTAAGTAAAAAAATCTTCAAGTTGGAATTTTTATTAGTTTATTTTTTTGGATTGGGGTTGCGGTTGTTTGAAAAAATTAAATGATTTTCCGACGCGACGACAAATCGCTGAATATTAATGATTTCTCTTGGCACAATCTCAGGGAGACACCAGGGAATTCATTCGTGAGAATCAGAGACTGAAATCTCAGACGTGTTCCTGTTCCTCGTTCTGGCTAGAACTGCAATTCACTGGGTAATCACGGGGGAATGGGCATCGATCACAGAATGACATCCGTCGGTGTCAAAATATTTCCCCTCACGGTTTACAAAATTCAGTGCAAACCAAATTTGAGAATTCAAAAGACAAATCTCAAGAGTCCGATCGACAGAAAAAAAAAAAAAAATAGAAACCCCAGAAATTCCCAGGGCCGGGTTCAATTCAAAATTCTCATCAATTTTCTCAATTTTTCCAACTTCAACTTCATTCATTAATATCTCAAAATCTAGCGCGAAAATCGAAATTTTCGTCACGACCTTTTTTGCAGAGAAAATTGAAAGCTAGAAAAAAGGTTATCACAAAAAATTCGATATCTCCTTTAGATCCAGAGATATTTCTGTGAATTACCATTTGTGCGGGCATTCGCTTTTCTTTATTTTCAATTTCCATTGCAATTGATGTCTCATTACTCTGGGATTATCCACGGATGTCCCATCCCCGCAATTATCGACTAGTAACGAAGATTATGCATCAATACCGTCGCCTAATGAGCCCGGGGGGGAGTGACTTCATTAACAGTCGCTGCAGCTTTCATTCGCGATAATTAACGGAATTCTTGAATTTTTTTTTCAAAATCAGATTTCGCGTTATTTTCACGAGAGGAAATAAAAATTCTGGAGATAACATATAAAATTTCTGATTGTAGAAAATAGTCTTGATTCAAAAATATTTTTATCCGTTCCAGAAAATTAATTGCTGATTTAAGAAAATGAATTTTTGACTGAAGGAAATAAATTCCTGATGCACAAACGAATTCTTGATGCATGAAAATGAATTCTTGAATTAACGAAATGAATTTTTCCTTCAAAATAATCAATTCCTGATCTAAATAATTGAATTCATCCTTCAAAATAATTAATTCATGATTAAACAAAAAAAAAACATGAATTCTCGTTTCAAAACAATGAGTTCTCAAAAAAAAAATGAATTCTCGACACTCAAAACTAAATTCCTCCCCAAAAAAAATTTCCGACACTCCGAAATTTATCTCCACCAAGAAATTACCCACCGGGGAAATTTCTCCCCACCACCGCGCCTTTCTCCCAAATTTTCCTCTCGTCTAAAAAAATTCTCGCCAGATCATTAGTCATTGGTCTCTTCGGCGCACTTGAAAGCGGTTTTGAAAAAAAAAGTATTCGGACAAGCTAACAGGGTGGTTAAGGTGTTTATGTTAATCTCATAAAGCGCCGAAGGTGGTCCTGAAATGTTCAATCATTTTTACAGATCTCGCGACAAATTTCGAAGATCATTTTTCAATTTTCACCGTCCATTTGTATTCCGCGGCTGTGGGTAATTGATAAAGTAATGCTTGGGGGGTGGAATTTATTATGACGGATATTAATGAGAAGATGTATGACATATTGACAGAGCATTGAGGATCGAGATTGCCCGATCGATAGAATATCGATCTCCGGGATTAGATCGATATTGGAAGAATCAATTTGTCACGAGAATCGTTTTTTTATTTCATTATTTATCCGCCGGTATACAACGATACGATTTTGGAGAATTCCGTCTCGTTTTGAAGATCGCGAGGAAATCTCGAGTTTGAGATAAAAATCGAGAAATTTCACTCAGCCCATCTCGAGATATTCGGAATCAAAAGGGCAGCTCTCACTCGCGCCGAATTAGACATTTTTTCGATGACGAATTTATTTCGGAAATGAAAAATTTTAGAATAAAAATTGAATGGAATTTTATCATCGGGGCATTCTTCTGGAGATATTCTATTGCGAAAAAGAATATTTAAACGCCATCTGTAGAATAAACGACGAAATTCGATAATCAACTGCGATGATAAAAACTGCAATTGCGTTTTTCATTTGATGTTTTTTTTTTGTTAGCAAAATTTTTGTAATTGTTGAAAGACACCGAAGAAATATTGACATCACTTCATATTAGAATAAATAAACCTCAATGGCGATAATTATTCGGATTTTTTCTCTCGTTTCCTTGACCGCGAGTCAGGGACTGACGCATAAAAAAATTCCAGGAACGATTTAACTTTGTCTGACGAAAAAAAATTGATGTTTTACAATGTTGTAGAGTGAAAAATGATCAATCAAAGAGCAATCAATTCCGAGGTATAAATAATGATTCAGTTATCCGGGATTTTATCGTCTACCGGGGGAATTTTTATATCGAGTTATCAAAAGTGAATTTTATCGTTGAAACATCGATTGATTAAATCTCGAAAACTATCGATGTCAAGACGAAATATCAGAAGCCATTTTCCCTTGAAAATTTCATGAGCTACAAAAAAGTCCTCTACCGATTTCACCTGAAACCGATAGTTTTCCCGAAAAATCAATAATTAAGAAGAATTGTTAATTTGATTAATCGTACATCACTCGATGCAACAGAATTATTTCAAGGATATTTCCGAATCTAGAAGAGATAGATAAATTTTGGTAGAATCTTTTTCGTAGATCTCGATCCCCGCCACAAAAAAGGTCATAACAAAAATGTCGATATCACCCCGAATTTCCGAGATAATCATCAATAACCGCAAGAATCTCGATATATTTCCATGAAAAATCGTTACAATGGAATATTACCCATCCCTCCCCCCACAATTAGTTAATTGCACATCGATGTCTCGTTCCCCGGCAGATAATACCGCCACAGAATTTCTTCCACTATCTTTTTCCATAAACATGCATCTGACCGATTCACTCCCACCAATAATTCTAAACTCGGTGTATGACGTAATTCCATGCACAGAGTAATCCGCAAAAAAAGACTAGCGAAAACAAATAGCAACTGAATAAAATGAAAAACGTACCGGCACCAAAACAGCACAATTGCTCATTATATCGGTGATTAATTAAAATGCACAGCGAAATCGTTAAAATTGCGGAAAAAAAATCGGTGACAAAGTGGCACTTCCTGATTGATCGATCCCGCGAATGATCGGTTGAAATAAATCGAGTTAACGTGTGACGACTGTTGGTTAACCGAGAGTTTCTCAGATACTATTCGAGAATTATGAAAAAGTTCTTCAAGACGGGTCGCGACATGAGTGTGAGAGGGAGATAAGACCGTCATGACGTGTTGCACACCGCGATTATTCCTTTCATCATCTCGCTAATTATTATTGGAAACACGAAAATGTCGGGGAAATCGACTCTCGTGATTGGACTAATTTTTTTCAATTGCATAATTCATTTTGTATTTTTTTCATCGAATGAATCAATTTTATTTTTATTCAATTGATAATTGTATCTAAAAAATTAATTAATAAAAAATTGTTAGGTGAATAAAATATGAATTATTATTTATGAAAAAGGAAAAATGATATAGAAAATTTGGAAAAAAGGGATTTGTTAATTCCATTTTTAGAAGTGCTGTCATAATTTCAGAATAACCGGTGATTTTATAGTGTAGAGTGCGGAAAAAAGAACCGGTTATTTTCTTGTTTCATATGTCCTGCAGTGTTATTCAATTTTTCATAGTTTAATTGATTTTTAATACGCGATAAACTCGATATTTCTGAGTTCCAAGAGATATAACATGAATGGATAAACATAAAGTATTAGCGGAGGGAAATAATTGAATTCTTGGAGGAATTTGAAATTCTCGATTTGCAGATTCAATCTGTACCGACTGAAAAATGGGAAGGAATTTCAGTTATGAACGGTCGATAATGTAGATTTTATTATTGGTTGGGATAAATTGTAGAGAATGTCTTTGAATTCATTTTGAATATTAATAATAATTACGAGAGGGTGAGAGTACTATTTATTTTTACTCAGGATGACGCACTGGTTTTTTGACAGTCTCTCCCGCCACGTGCCTCAAAATTCAAATGATGGTGCGCAAAAGAAAGGCTGTCTGCTATTTTTTACTGCGCTGTTGGCAAAATTACCATAGGCGACGCAAAAAAATATGCCTGTTAAATAATTGCTGGGACTGGATAAGTTATAATTTCAATCAGCACGATCGTACGTCGTCGCAAGTAAATTGCAATTAAAGTGAGTAATTGATATGTAGAACAAGAATGAATATAACGCGTAAAAATTTTGAGATAGCATTGAGATGTCGTTGAAAGAAATTTCTATTTCTTCATCATTAAAAAATAGCATTAATTTGCGATAACGAAATCAGAGATAAGGGTAATTGTCAAATTATTTTGATATCACCAATTCCGTTGAGTGTGACGTACGAAAATGTCAATTTAAATATCGGCATCATTCGAGGTGACAACATTGAATTCATCGATGTAATCATCTCTTAGTTACCAATTTTTTAAATCAATTCATCAAAGTTTAAAATTTCTCGACTGGAGATTGAATTGGGTTAAAAAATAATACGACTTTCCCATTCTCGTGATGATTACACGTGACTTTACTCCGATTACTGTGTTATTTTCGCCAAATTGATACACCTCAGGGAGAAGTCATTGATATTCACCGAGCGATCTTATTTCTTTGAAAATCGATTATAATTAGAACTGACTATCACCGTTCGGAGATGATCGAGTCTATTTTGGAGATTAGTAGAAAGCCTAATTTTGACTTACAACTCGCGTACTAGTCCCTCTCTCTTCAACCAGTAATCTCGAATGATTTCCTCAACAATTCAGTTAATAGTGAGTATCAGTAATGATCTGGGGGTTGAGGAAAACTTGACTTACCTACAACAGAAAAAAACGAACAAAAATTAAAGAAACTTGGTGTGAACTAATGATTTTCCTCAACTTCACAATGACGTAACACAATAAAACTTGATGAAATATCATACATCATCGGGCACAAAAACGGTGACCATCCTGGGGAACTTCTTCTTCTTCCGTGCCATTATGACGGATCAGACCAAAGTGGAAAAATGGAAAACGAAAACGAAAAGCCAACGGCACAACTGAGTGGATAATCACCAGTAGAAGAGGACTCGTACAACCGCGAGGTGGAGGTATTCCTCGGTCCCCTCGACCATTGGTCTCCAGGGTCATACCGCGGGGCATCAATTACCATTAATTTCCAATGGTGATTAATGCAGATTCGTCAAACGCCGGGTAAATATTACTTCCGACGTGGCATTACACTTCAGGTCAATTGAATTCGGCTTGTCAATCAGTAACTAAGTAGGTGATAAACTGTTTCATCACGCGCCGCAATTCACCCTTTTTCCTCGATTTTTCACGAATTTTCCGGGTGGATATACCATTCCGAGGAATTTCAGGGGAAAATTCAGGTTTTTTTAATTTTTTGGAATTTCAGGGGGAATTTCAAGTTTTTTTCAATTTCTTGGAATTCCAGAGGAGATTTCAGGTTTGTTCATTTTTTTTTAATTTCAGGTTTTTTCATTTTTTTTAATTTCAGGGGAAATTTCAGGTTTGTTCAATTTTTTTTTGAATTCCCGGGAGAATTTCAGGTTTTTTCAATTTTTTTTAAATTTCAGCGGAATTTTCAGTTTTTGTTTCAATTTCTTGCAATTTTAGGGGAAATTTCAGGTTTTTTCAATTTCTTGGAATTTCAGGGAAAATTCAGAGCGAATTTTCAAGTTCAGGTGGTGAATACCTCAATTTTCCGGAAAATCAGGTCAAAAAATTTCCCAGGTTTTCATTCTGGAATTGCAAATTGGGAAATTGATAATTATTCTTCAGGTTCAGGTACAGAATTCAGGGAAATTCAGTGCAATTTTCCGGAAAATTCATGCAGTTTCCCACCACACCGTACGGGATCAACTGAAAATTCTCGAGGACAAGACCCTCAGCCAATTGAGCATAAAAAATTGTTTACGGGAATTAACAAGTGGAAATTCAATGTTCGTCTTCGTTACGCAACTGTCAACTATAATTCGTATAATAATCGAGTGCTGATTCCGCGTACCAGCTGTCCTTGTCAACTAATCAGTCCATAAATGACATCGGGAAAATAAAACGTAATCGAGAGGAAATCTCGAGTGGCTATCGACAGTGGGTCAATCAGTTTGCGATAAGAGGCGGGAAAAATCAGGCACGTGCAGTGAAATACAAACGGCTTTTCAATCCCCTCCAAAAAAAAATTATCAACATCACCTGAAAATCCCGGGAAAACTCAAAATTTCAAATTTTAAATTGCTCACTTCAATTTCAATTGAATTACCAATCTCTACAGAAAAATCTCGAAAATAAAAAATCAATTCTATGAAAATAGACGATTCGTTTTCCGGGGAAAATTTCAAACGTCTTCACTGATTTATTTATAAATCTCGGATGTTAAACAAAAAGTTAGTGGGAAAATGGCACGAGTAGGCATTCGTCCAATGCCAAGGACCGAGTGGTCATCAATCTAAAATCCTTGAGTTGTCAAAGAGAAGCTCGAGAAAAAGCAAAAAATAAATCTATTGTGAGTTTGTTTCAACGACTTGGCATAAAACAGACGGTGTTTACACTATCAGAGACATTGACAGGCGCATTGAACCCCAATTCGCAATTTTCTTTGTCTCCTGCACGTGTTTTCGCGGATTTGAAAGAGCGCCAGCTCATGGCATTTCGCAAGTTGAAAGAAATTTCTATTTCTTCACCATTAAAAAATGGCATTAATTTGCGATAACGGAATCAGAGATAAGGGTAATTGTCAAATTATTTTTGTATCACCAATTCCGTTGAATGGGACATACGAAAATGTCAATTTAAATATCGGCATCATTCGAGGTGACAACATTGAATTCATCGATGTAATCATCTCCTAGTTACCAATTTTTAAAATCAATTCATTAAAGTTTAAAATTTCTCGAATTGAGATTGCATTGGGTTAAAAAATAATACGCCTTTTTCATTCTCGTCGTGATTACACGTGACTTCACTCCAATTCCTGCGTTATTTCATCCAAATTAATGCACCTCAGGGAGAAATAATTGATATTAACAATTATTTATGCCTGTTTAAAAAAAAAAAAAAACGTGACAATCTATTAGACGAGAAAGGGCTGGAAGTGGTCGCGAAAATTCATATAAAAAGATATCTAATTGCAGTGGCTATTTCCGGAGGGCCTTCGACGAATTTAGAATTTATTTTCGCAAACGCAGCAATGAGCAGCGATTTATCGTTTCTTCTGGAGAAAATTGCAAGGGCGGTGGCTCGAATGCATAAATGAGAGCGCATCGGTTCGCAAGAGTATTCTGTTTCACATTTGATATTTTCAACTCGATATTTTTACAATCGAGGCCGTTGCACGCTCATTTGCAGCGAGACGAGATTTTTTTTTTCAATCGTCATTTTTCTTTGTTCATTTCCAGAAATTCCCCTGGATTTTCGCCAGAATTCATTAGTCCGCGAAAAAAATGGCAGAACAAATTTTTCTCTTCATGAAAATTTGACTTCGATTTTTCTAAATCCCCAAAAAATTGAGAACGCGCTCGCAGTAATAATGAGTCAGTGATTAATTGGATTGTCTGAAGGCCGTCGGCCTCAGGTGTCCGACTGATCTAGATAAGATGAGGTGAATTCAGCTAGATCATGATGATCTCATGGGATTGCGTCGATTTATCGATTCCTTTTTCGTCATCTAACGCAAAAGTCTGATTTCACTGTTCCCATTGGACAATTATGGAATCAATCGATCGAACGATTCGATTTCATCTCAAGATTCACCCGAGGATTCTCGCGCAATCCGCGATTTTTTCGCGATCGATCATCGATAATCACGAGATTGTGAGGGGATATTTATTTGAATGACAAGAAAAATTAAATTTTCCACCGGAAAATCGTACGTAAAAAATCAATTATTCTGGACTTCGCGCACTGATCAATGGCGTAAGCACCAATTTGGTACACCCTGAGGAGAGAAAGGAGAATTGGAGGCCGTTGATGACGCAAGGTCATTCCTGAGGAGTTGATGACGCATTCACGATTGAAATAAGTAAAAACACGGGGTCATTTGCACCGGTGTCTGAAGATCTCGTGAGAAAACCCGAATTTTCGATGTAAAAATAGTCAAAAGAAATTCATCAACTCGATGTGAATGAAATTTTCAAAGAATTCAGTGAATAATTTTTTCTTTGTTCAACATTACGGAGAGGAGAAAATGCTAATGATCGTGTGAAAGGAAAATAGTTCTTTGCCGATTGAGCAATTGTTGGAGGAAGCAATATCAATGCCAGTCAGCGGATAATACGCAAATGAGAATAGTCACGGTGCCAGAGTGCGATAAGACACAAAGAACATGATGCCATCAGTGGAAATTCGTCGGAGTGACTAATGCTCTAACGACTTTTCAGGACGATTCGAGAAAAAATATATTTTATGAACAATTTTAGAACGCGGGCATTGAAAAAAAATTGAAACGTAGTTAGTCATTTGCGAGAAAATTCCGAGTTCTTGAACTTGCGGTGAGACCGGAAATAACAATTAATAATTGATAGCAGTAATTACGATGGCTATCTACCCATTAAATTAATCTCTCAATTGAATACCCGTAGAATATCTCCGGAGCCAGTGGAGATACGACAATTTTTATGATGACCTTTTTTCTAGCTCGGTCTTTCCTCTCCAAAAAAGCTCCCTACAAATTTTTTTATATCACCCCTAGATCCCCAGATATCCACCAAAAACCGGAGAAAGACAAGAAAAATCAAGTGACGCCAATTTGCAATTTCACTCCCGCCTTATTTGGGGAGTATCTCGGAATCTAAGCCAGATAGCAAAATTTTCAAAATGACCTTTTTTTCAGGTCTCGAATTTTCCTCGAGAAAAGCTTCTCATAAAAATTTCACTATCACCCTCAGATTCCGAGATATGCTCGAAAAATGGTAAAATACCTCTTGCGTGAGTTCAGCAGTTCCCTGAGCCTCAGTAGGTGCATCAGGTTCGCTGGAGTCTCCCTGAGAGCTGCCTCCAGGTATCTCATCCCTAGCAGAGTCCTCGACATTCAGTAGATAAGCATGAATATCATTCCTCGTAGAATTCAATCTGCTGTACCTCCCCAGAGAGTTCAACTCCTCGAAGAGATCCCTCTCATAATTAATCAGCATCGAATCAAGATTTTTGGGGTGTACAAAAATCGGTCTGTGAACGATAGTCCTGGCATCAGTGTGCCACCCAGATCCATTATGAAGATTCAACGATCCCACCCCAATCCTCTGAATATCAAGCCCCAGATAACTCTCTGGATCAACTCTCAAAAGTGACAGGAGGAGTGCCAACTGGAGCAGCTCCTCCCTGTACAATTTCTTCAGACAAATCATTTCTTTTTCTTTCTTGAAACTTGAACACTTGAAATTCACTCAATTATCACAGCAACCACCTGTCCCTCACAGTTGACAATAAAAAATAAGTACACGTAAGAGCAATAAATTGAGCATCACAGATCAAGTACTGGTGAATTGAATAAATTGTTCATTCGACACTTCCTCACACCCTGACACTTCTTCACACGTCGTCACGAAAATCCTTTCATTTCGATTTATGATTTTTAACGTTTGAGGTTAGAAATAACAAATTGATGATTCTTTTAAGTGCTCCACTCAGCTGGACAGTCAGATGGCAAATAAAGTGATCACTGGGTCCTCTGGTGTAGGTCAGTTACATGTGCCACTGAAATAACCTCAAAACTCATATGTGACACCTCACACACACACTATTCCCCCCCACAAATGTTTTTTCACGTTTTTATCTCACTCGTTGTATTTTGGCGTTCGGTGTTTTTATCACTGCACTCGATTCTTCCGGAATCACATGATGGTAATGGTGATCGATGATTTTTTATTGTTCGGTGTTATTTGTTGTTTTGGATGCTTCCGGTGTTTGTCGATCTGTCGTGATTAGTCGGACGGAATCGCGCGATCCCGGGGTGCGGTGACGACGCGAAATCCCGTGGAACTACTTACGCCACATTTTTTGAATTTTTTTGGGGATGATTTTGGGGCCTTTTGGAATTTTCCCGGTGGAGTATTTGAACGTGCGGAGACCACGGATGAAATCGTAATGCCGTGTGTGACTCAGCAATCACTCCCGTAACGTCGTGTCATTTTTCAGGGGCGGATGCCAGGGGCGCTAATTTTTGCAATTATTTGAAATTCGGGATTTCGGGATTTGTGGTTTTGTGAGGGATTTTTTGAGATGAGAAAAGGGAAATTTGATTTTTTTCTTGAAATTGCAATTTTTCAGGGGCGGATGCCACGCGCCAATTTTGTAATTATTTAAAATAGATAGTAACAATTGTTGTATTTGTTGAGAATTCTTTCAGGATGGTTATTCAAGGAAATGATTGAATAATCGTGATAGCAATAATAATTCAATTTACATTATTTATTTATAAGGCAAATTATTAGGCAACAATTATTTCTACTCATCTGGTCTATTTATTTATTTATCATTATTATTATCATTGATATTGCCATAAGTATTATTAATTTCTTTTTGATGGTCAAAAATAATTTAATTACGAAATAATTACAGGAATAATTCAATTACAAATTTTGTGGTTTTGACAATAATTGAAGTAAGACAAAATATCGTGTGAAGCACGTGTCAAGTCGCGGTAGAGACTAATGTCTTTTTGTTAATCAATGTCAGATCGAAAAACATTGAACATTAAGACGCATTAAAATGCTGTTTTGTTTTTTCCATTACACGCGTCATTGGCCAGTGATTCCGCGTGATCGAGATCCCCTACCCAAGGGGTCATCGATTAACCCGTATCAATAGATCATACATCTGAAGTAATTTCATACGCGGTACTCAGTACAATCCCCTCTCCTCATTTTATTTTTAATCGATCGTTTCCGTTCTCCGCAAATCACTTTACCTCCAACCACAACTTTACCTCTTCGCTCTGATACTTCCCTGATTTATCAGTTAAATATCTCCGCATCTAAGACAGCTACCGTAATTTTTGTCATAACCTTTTCTGCAGCCCCTTATCACCCCTGCAAAAAAGATTTTATCAAAAATCTCGCTATCACCCCTAGATTTCGAGATACTAATCAAAAACGGATTGACAATCAAAATCGATGTTCCTCCCGAACTCCCGAATCAATCGGGAGATATCTCGAAATCTAAGGGGAGTATCGAAATTTTGGTAATTAGCTTTTTTGTAGGCCGTAATTAGTTCCATAGAAAAGGTTCTTACGAAAATTTCGATACTAGGTGTATATTCTGAGATATTCCCCGGAATAACCAATAGATCCCCCACATGGTCACAATTTTTTTAGTTCTTGCTTCCGTTCGCTCTTCTATAATTAAAAAAAAATTCAGTCGTATGCATAACGATAGTCGCCGTTATCGGTTTGATAACGCCGTTAAATATCAGTGATAACTGATGTACACAGTGCAATGGAGGACTTATTCCCGATAAGAGTGAAAATACCATGAAATTACCCGAGGCAATTTTCAGTTATTACTTTTCAATTCTTTCCACTCTTCTCTGCGCCCAAAAATTCATAAAAAATAAGTGAAATAAATCGCAATGAAAAGTGAAAAGTGAAATTGCGAGCTCTACGATTTTTCTTAGGGAATATAATCACTCGGATGAATCATTCATAATAATTTTATTATTTTCCCCGGACAATTAAGAGACTGCGAAATCCATCGACGAATCAGCGTGGCACTAGAAATATCAGTGGTGATTAATTAATTATTCAGTTATCTATCGAAACGCGTCGTCTAGCGGCGATATCTCCTGATGCGGCGACACGATTTGAGTGCGTGAAATCGAATTTTGAAATTGAGGGAAAAATAAATGAAAAAAAAAACAAAATGGGAAAATTCATTCCATTAATTCTTGGATTATCTGTGGACATTTATTTAAACAATTTCCCCGAATTCCCCCGATTTTTCTGACGATTTCCAAAAATTCATTCTTTCCAGAAAAAAATCCACGTAAAGCCTGAATGTTAATTAAACAATCCGAAATAATTAACAGAAAAAAATTCTTGAAATTCTAATTTTCCTACCTGCCATTCTGCTTTTGACCTGATCAGGCACTCAGGTATGGTTGCCGGTGAGAGGGTGCGCATCCGGGGTAGATCGGCAATAATCATCCTGAAAAGTTCACCCCACAAACTAATCAATTCAAATTCACTCGCTCCTCAAATCATGAACGAATTAAATCACGCGACAGCTCAAGTGTACGTCACGCGTTCTCACTTATCGGTGATTAAAAAAAAAAAACTGTAATTGAGAATTGTGAATAGATATTTTCCAGCAATTCTTTCAACGTTCTCCAGAGTACGCATTGTTCCGACGATCACAAGTACTGATGATAAAACGAAAAGGTCCCCCCACTCGATCGCGGTATCAATCATGCCGATCACGTCAGCTGCTCGTGATTTTAAATCGTGGCGCGAAAACGATCCGTCAACAGCTACACGGAGAGAAATATTCAGTAAAAATTACGGAGCAATCGAGTTAATCCGAATGAAGAAATTTTTTCCCACGAGTTTCACAGGAATGGAAGAAAATAAATCTGAAATCGGTAGCGAATTGTTCAACTGCGATAAGTGCAATATTTTCGACCCCAGTTTTTACCCGATATCTCGAAATCGAAGAAAGATAGACATTTTTTCATAATGACCTTTTCCGTAGCTCTGACAATTTTCTATGAAAAAGGTTCCGATAAAAAATTCGCTATGTGTCTTTAATTCCGAGATATCGGCGAACAACTGGTCTCGAAAAAAAGTGCACTTATGCTAGATTAGTAATTAATCGTTTGCCCTTCGGTAATCTTCAGTTTTTGATGGACAAAAAGAAAATAATGGACATAAGGACATGGAAAAAATGTATATACTCCAATTCTAACATTTCCGAGCCACTGGATCGATTTTTTGAATGAATGAAACTCGACAATATTTTTTACAACAAAATATCTATTACAGTACAATTGATAATATGGTACAAGTAGTTCAATGGATACAAAATACAAAACAACAATGAAATTTACACGTCCGATAGATTCATAAGGGCATATTAACGTCCACAAGGATCGCACTGACATTGGCCTATTGACATCAGCATAATCTCATTTTTTTTACAGTGAAGAAAAAAAATATTTCGAAATAGGCCGATTAATATGCTCTGGAGATATAAATCAATTCGATAGAAATAATACCAGCGATATCGCCTCGACGCATTCATTACACTGATTATTTTTCCTTTTGTAATTTTATTCATTCCTCCAATGATCGAGAAAATTCAGTGAAAAAATATTCTATTTACATGTAAATTTCTAGCTTGTGCGTCGATTTGGTAATTCGCCATTTTTTTTTATTGGGTAATTTTTATTCTTTCGTATTGAAGTGTATAAAAATCTACGTATTCAGAAAGGTATATAGTCTGTAATTGTTCAATTGGTACTGGATACTTGTATTTTTATTCATTTTTTCGGTTTTTGATTCTGGGGATTTGACTATCCGCCAGTTTTCCGTGAATATCTCGCAATGTATGGGACATAAAAAAATTTTGTTCAGACATTTTTTATAGCTCCGGAGTGGTTCTACAAAACGATTCCTAACGAAAATTGCGATAGCTCCCTTGGATTCTGAGATATTCCCGAAAAATGAACGCAAGTCGTTTAACCGGTTCGTTACTGACTGAAAGTACTGAATCGGTACTTTCTCCATTCCCCGAGTCAAAAAAGCTTGAATAATTAATCAGCAAGCAGGAGGGACTAATCTCTTATCAAATAGAAATAGATAGATGTCTGTGGGACGGACGCTTGTGCCTGAAAATCAACATCAGCTGAGAATACATAATTTGCAAAAAAAGAGGAACGATAAAATGAGATTGAAAAATTCTACGCAAGGCTGCAACATGCCATAATAAATTATTACATCGATTCAATTTCCCTCTCTCCAATAGTAAAATATCAGATTTTATTCGCTCTTTGGTTTAATTCTAGATCAGCACGGACTCAATATAAATTCCATGCCTGGACGTACCCCGCGTCAAGATCACAAGGTCCTGTAGCAACATGAACACATGGCACACGACACATAATATTTTGGTTTATTGTTTCTGTATTTTGAATATATAGTCCATCTTCTTTCTTGTTCGTCGCAATCCCCGAGGGAATCGCAACTTTTGGCGAGATTATGACTAGTCTCCGCTCTTTTGAAAATCGAATCCACATTTCGGTTGTAATTCTTTCAAAAATTTCCGCCATTTTCATACATCGATATTCAATATTGAAAGACAGAATCTGCAGTCACGATTTCCACGAGAGCTAGAACATTGGTATTTTCCTTGGGAAGAACGTATCGTACCAAATTAATTTAGTCTAGTAATGTTGATATGCTAATTGAATAAATCCACTAAATCAAGTTACCGTGCATGCCTGAGAGTTTCGAAATGAATTCCAGGGGAAAAGTTTCATGCTAAATAATTCCACGCGTGACAAATAATCCGATAAATCAGAACGGGAATAAATTATTTGAGCATCATCTAGGAATCATCATTTCGTGTTATCATCCCAGATTTTCTCAGAAGCAATTACCTAATCTCGGTAATCTTTGAAATTATCAATCAACCACTCGTCGACATCGTCGGCATTATTGGATACCCATCGAACATTCATTTTGATGGTCTCGAGGCTCTGCTCTAGAGTTCGCTCTCCACTGCCAACGTCCATGTCCTTGAAGAACTCAGTTACCTCCTGGTGATCGTACTCCGTGAAGAAGTCGGAGACAACCGAGGAGATGAGAGGCCCCAGTCCCACAGATCCATTACCAAAGAGTGTGTGAAGCTGGGGCCAGTAGGCCTTGACGTGCCTCCAGGCGATGTACTGGCCCTCAGGATTGCGAGCAGCTGCTGCAATGACTGATTCGACGTCCTGGGGCCTCACGCTCTCCCTGTCAAGGGACTTCAGGAGGTACCTCTGGAGGAGCCACGGATCGGTGGTTGCACCCAGTGCCTGAAGGATAATCCTCTTTTCACTTGGAATTTGAGTGGTTTTGTACGTCTCCCAGCAGTGGCGCCACTCCTTTTCAGAGCCAAATCTTATACCCGCGACGTACACGACGTCTCGGATGTTTGGGGGAATTTTCTTGCCCCGCAACATCCAATCCTCGAAGAGGTTCTTGGCGGGCTTCACCACGTCCTCCAACTGGAGCTCAACTGCTGACTGGAGGACAGCTATTCGTAAGAGTCTAGAAGGAATCAGTGGTTTTGATTCGATTCAACCTTCTGTGTGATTAAATCTAATCAGTCTAATGATGATTGTACATGGAAATGAAAGGCATGAGTATCTGTGAGGGTAACGAAGATCATTATTGATTTTATTTGAACGGCATTACTTTTGTTCAAAACGTCGCACGTGAAATTCGGCCCGTTATCATGGATAACTCTCGATCAGATAGATAGAATTCAGAAATTCAAAAGGCATTGTGAAATTGAGACCTTGAAAATGGTATGTAAATGCTCCCATTCAATTTTATTACAAATATATAAAAATTGAACCAAATTTGAAATTCGGGTAAAGCATGAAAATCGCATTTTCATATTCAAAACGCCAGAACTCCGTAAAAAATTATGGGAATCACATGACTCGTATATTCTTTTGAAGCTTTTTTGAAGCCCTTTCGAATGAGTCCACAATGAATTGCCTCAGTCTAAGAGGGACCGTGGTTTTCGCCCAAATATCGGCGAGAACGATAGCATTATGCATACGGATCATTTACTTATGGAAATTATTCTGTTTTTATAGGGAATTCTCATGGGATTGGATGGAATTTTCGTTACTCACTTGGTCAGATGATCTCCGTCGTCGTTCCACCCAACGTATCTGGAAATGGGTCCAAGCAATTTCTTCATGAACGCCGTGTATCTTTTATAGCCGGCGCTCTCCCCCAGTCTCTGCTTCCAGGAATGGAGATATCCCAGAGCCGTAGCCCAGGGCACGTAATCCCTCTCGTTCATCAGATAAAGCGACAGTCTCAGTGGAATTGTCGCATTAACTTCCCCAGCCTCGCACAGAGTGAACACGTCGTCGATCAAATTCGCTCGATCGATTGCCGAGAACTTGCGGTGATTTGTCATTAAAGTTTTTATGATCGACGTCCACATATCGTCCGGGTAGGACACCCTGTAGAAGCCCGTCTGATTTATATTGAATTTTATGAATTCCACGGCCTCAGGGAGCTCGAAGGTGACTGCAACATTTTTCATTATAAAATATCTCCGGATCTACCGAAGATAGGAAATTTTCGTGAGAACCCTTTTTGCAGGTCGCAAGTTGTTCTACAAAAAAGGTTTTCACGGAAATTTCGATATCGGCTCTCAATTCCGAGATATTCCGCAACAACCAACAGCGAAAATGGAGTCAAATCCTTTTGTTGAGTTGCAAATTAATCAGTAAGAGGAAAAATTAATGAATTACCATCGGACATGTTCATCCAGATGGTGTAGACCTTCTCAGGATCCTTGTCGGTGTAATAGGTCAATGGCACATACCACTTGTAATTAAAACCTGATTTTGATTGAATCGTTTCCGTTTGATTATCCAGTGGATACAGTAAAAACCGTTTTTGACTCGCAGTCACCATTCGACCCTCTCGATTTATCGTGATAAGAGGAAATCCTGTCTGTTGTGTCCAAGTGTCCATGATTGCCTGTCAATTCACGGAAAGCCATAAAATATTTTCCTATTTATCGATTCACCTCATCCCCTCAATAACAAATAATTGCCTCACCTTGACATCAAAAGAATTGTTGGCATGCTTGGAGAAGACAGCCCACAGGTCATTAGTATCGGCATTACCGAAGGCGTGGACATTGAGATACTCATTGAGACCACTCCTGAGGATGTCCTCCCCGAGGAATCCCTGGAGCATATTGAAGATGGAAGCACCTTTGGCGTAGCTGATGCTGTCGAAAATCGCCTCGATCTCAGCAGGATCCTTGACAGGAACACTGATAGGATGACTCGTAGCTAGTGCATCGAGGCGCAGTCCCGCCTGAATAATAAATCATGCATTCAACTCTGCCCTTGTTCCTCAGGTCGAATCGACCTTTTTTGATTGGTCCATGACAAATGCGGTACAGGAGGTGGAGTGGGGGGTATGACGGGTCATGTGAAGGAAAGAATTTTTAATAACCTAAAGTTTTTCAAATTGCTGAGATTGATTCCATATTACTCGACCATTCTACCGTACATTACATATCGTGTCACCTGTGTCTTGTCGAGGACAAACTGATCCATGGTGCTCCACTCTGGTGATACGTTGTTGACCCCCATATACTCGAAGAAACTTGCAGCACCTTCATTCAGCCATAAATCATTCCACCACTTCATGGTGACAAGATTTCCAAACCACTGATGAGCGAGTTCATGAGCCATGATGAAGGCGACCCACTCGTGGGCAGCAGTTGATGTCTCATCAGGATCGTACAGGATGGATGCTTCCCTGTAGCTGATGAGTCCCCAGTTCTCCATTGCTCCAGCAGCAAAGTCTGGGACTGCGATGAGATCCTGCTTGGGCAGGGGATAATTGACACCGAAGAACGACTCGAAATAATCCATAATTCGTACAGCTGTCGTTAGGGCGAATTGAGCCTGGGGGAGCATCGACTCAGCCGCGTAGACACTCACGGAGATGTTCCTGGAGGTGAGCTGGGAAATTCTTTTGAAGTCACACACGACGAAGGCCACGAGGTACGTCGACATCTCCACTGACTCCTGGAATTCGTCTCGCAGCTGAAATGAATAGTTGGTCTACATCAGAGGGGTATATACCAATGTCTCCGGTTTTGCGTTGGAGATATTGTCATATTTGATATTGCTGGAGGAAGATGGAGATTGGCTGTTTCAATTTTGAAATCGTTCGATCATTTTAACGTGGAGAGTTTATACTGGAGGAATAAACCTATTCGACTGAAAATAATGGGACGAATAAAATAATCCAGAGGAGCACTCACCAGTCCCGTTCCCATGTAGAATCCAGCGTCTTCGGTATTGACGATCGGCATGTTGCAGAGTGCAATGTGAAATCGATCTCTGAATATCGAGACTTTGAATTTCGCTTTGTACTGGGGCTCATCAAAACAGGGAAAGGCCGATCGAGCATATGTCGGTTCAAAATGAGTCGTTGCCAAATATCTAGAGAGAAATCGGTTGATTTTTGAGAATTATCTCGGAATCTGAGAGAGCTAGTGAAAATTTTGATAAGATGTTATTTATAGCTCTTATTTCACTCCGTAAAAAAGGTGGTATGAAAAATTTTGATAAATCGGTTGGATAAAGAGATATTGGTTTTATTAGTCAGGGGTGGGAGTTGCGATACCTGTTCTCTCCTTCTGCTGTTTTGTAAGAACTCAGGTAAAATCCCTCGAGTTCGGTCGTCAGTTTTGAAATGAATCTCAAGTGCAGCGTGTAATTTCCTCTCTTCCGGAATTTACCTTCTTCCACCTCCAGGTACAGCTGCTGATGACGTGGATATTCCAGCAATTTTGCGATTTTCATCTCATGCCCTTTACGATTCACCACCATCTGGAGAATAATCTGTTAATATTGTCCCGATACTCATTCTTATAATGCAAATTAATTTTTAGCAGGATTAATTTCCGTTGTTTAATCACTGAACTGATAAATCGGCAATTAAGACTAATTCGATTTCACTTACTCTGTCTGTTATTGTCAGGTTTTTACTGTGGAAGACGATAAAATTGGTCTCTCTATCGACGTAAAATTCGATAGTTACTTGTCCTGTGAATGAAATTAATAAAAATTCACTTGTTTACAACAGAATGGGATGATAATTCATTTATTTATTTACCTTTAACCTCTAGGGTCGTCAAATTCGGATGAATTGTTATATTGTATCTAGTTGGGTGAGAAAATGCGGGTAATCTAACATTATCCCACGGAAATATCTGTGAAAACGAGAATTTATTCGTAAGACTTTACAATAAAAAAATTACCGATTCTCCCAGAAAATTGTTAATTAATAAAAATCGGTAGGATGATGAATTTTTAGAATAAAAATTCACGAAATCGTTTATCAGTTGTCATTCTCTTTAATTAATTATCATTATTAATTGAGAATTCTCATTAATTCATAATAAATGAATTTTTTGTACTTCTCCATTGGTCGCCATTGGCTCAGCCCCAGCTCCATCATCTTCAACTTCGAGATTAGCTGGTTTTTCCCCCGCGCAGGGACAATCTGCATAATCAGTGATAATAAAATTCAATTAAACAATTACAAACAAAAAAAAATCCGAAAAACTAGACAATTCCATTACTTTCTCGCCGATTCCACTGAACTTTGCAATTATTCGATTTTTTTTTATTTCCGTAGCACTCCCCAAATTTATTAACAATTCCTCATTATTGTTAATTATCTTCATTATTTTTAGTGAAACCGGTGGTTTTATTTATTTTAATGAATAATTGCAGTGGAATAATTTCGGTTTTTTTCGGTCGATCGACATGCGGTGAAATCTTCCATTTTGAATTGAGGACTCACCATTTTGTGGTCCCGCAAACGCGATGATGAGTGATATGGCGAATAAAATAGCGAGAACTACTGTTGCGATGCACAACGCACGTTTTTGAGAGCAGACAGCCACCCCATTGTGCTCATAGAGGCTTCTTTTATGCAGCCCCGTGTTACTGTCTCCTAAAAAAAGAAAGTACATTTCTCCACTTACCGATAATCACTCGCAACCCGCGAAAATTCATTGCGTTCTCGCCAAGTCCACGGCGACATCTTTGTCTCTCTCATTTATTTTGTTTACATATTTTTTTCCGATATAAAAGTGAAAAGTTAAAAATAAAAGTCAAAAAAATCGGCAACTTTTACTTTTAATTTTCACTTCTTTCGGTTTTTAAAAATAATTCTTTCATTCGCACCCCAGAAATGGAATGCTAGTCGTTTTTTGCATTTTATTTTTGCGCATTCGTCGGGAAAAAAAAACAAAACGACATGTAAAACCTGGAGAGGGGTCGTGTGCATCAGAGGTTTTGAATCACGGTCGCAAAAAAAATGGAATCAGGTCAAGTGCTGGGAGTGTGTGTGTAGTTTTTATGAGAACGATTGAATCGAATGCACAACCTTTTACATTCAAACATATGCACCGTAAAAAAGTTTAACGCAACTGTTGAGTTCAATCGTGAGGTTTTTATACTTTGAAGTCGAGTCCTTGGGAGGAATAATGAATGCAGGGTGATATTGACCGATTTTATCGGCACCATGATCTCGGATAATCGGTTTCGCCCCACACGATAGGTTTTTCAAAAACCCGAATTTTCTTTCTCCCAAATACCGATTAATCTCCAAAACTACCGATTCCACGAAAAAATGTGAAAAAACATTTTTTGTAGAAAATTTAATCCTCCACAAAAAATGTCCCTAAACTTTTTCTCTCTGAATTATATTATCAGAAATATCAATATATTCATGAATATCAAAATATTAATGAGGGCAAAAAAATATTTTTTCCCCCAAAAATTTTCTGGGGTCAATAAACCCATGAATGTTAAAAATAATACTGAAATATATTAAAATAATTATGGATGAGGGTGAAAAAAATTATTATAGATATATTCCCGAGGTGAAACGGGATTGCACCCCAATATTATTGATTTTCCCCACGTGGTCGGGCATGGGCCACCCCCTTAATTCCCAAAAAAAAAACTTACCCGTGAGGAATGCAACATCATCAACATCCTGTTCGCTCATAGCGAAAGAATTCGGTGGTGGTCTTCGATAAACAAAACCCTTCACCTCGCCGTCGTTGGACGCATACGCGACTTTAATGAGGGGCTCCCTCTGTTCAGCCAGAATAATTACCGAGGCCCGTGGGTCCAACGAAATCCAAAAATCTCACTCCACAATCTCCCAAAAAAAAAAAAAAAAAAACCACCCCTCACTCAGTCAAACTGTAGTCTCGCATCACTGACTTCATTGAAGTGCCCCAGGAGTCTCGGGTAATACCAGGTCACTGGGTTGTACACCACATCACATATATTTTTTAATATTCGATCGCGAGTGCTTAGAACCCTTGCGCAACACTCATCACTCCTGCCAAATGCACGGGGTTGAAAAAAAATAAATAAATAAACAAATTACGAGGGATAAGTCATAACCAGTGGTACGAGTAGATGAAGCTGAAGATGTTGACGAGAGAGTGATATTTGGTGGTGGGGATGGGGTTGTTGCACTCGGTGGGAGTACATCGACACCTTGACATTAAATTCAGCATTTGGGGGATGATTTTAACAGCGGACAGACAGCAACTCTAAGCAGAAATGGCGGACATGGGGTAAAAGCAGCGGATGGGATGTATTTTTCCCCTTCGCGGCGCAACCACTCGTGGAGACTGGTATCTGGGTGTGTTGGGAGGGGAGGACGGGGATGATTTTGTGGGGTGATTGTGTGCGTGAGGGGTGTAATGGTATAAATGGGGGTGTGTGGCGCCATCTGGGGTGGAGATGAGGCTATGGAAAGGGTTGGGGTTTTTTTTTTTCCGGGGATTTTACCTCTCGTCGATCAGGCGGCGCTCTTCTAGTCATTGTCATGATTTTGTTTGACCCACAAGGTGAAAGGGTCAAGGGTTTGACAGTCGTTGGTGATTGTGGTCGAGGGTCAACGACTTGATAGGAAAATCTGTCAGGATGCTGGGTTGACCTTCGTGAGGGTCAAAAGTTTGACAGCGATGAGTGGAGAATTAATGCTGTCATGGTATTTTGACCTTTGGGAGAGTCCTGAAAGGTCAACTGTCAATATTAACGTCAGAATTAAATTATAAATACTGTTGTTTGACCTCTGGCAGTTCAAGGACGAACAGATGCATTTGAAGGTGAAATCCCTCCGTTTTGACCCCGACGAAGGTCAAAACCACATAAAAAAACACCGAGTGAGGGTCAATGAGGTGAAATAAAGGTCAAATTCAGTTGCTGCTGTTGTTTTTGGTTGTGAGGGTGAAACCTTTTACCCGGAATACCGAAGGCAGTTCATGAATACACATGAAGGGAGTTTAATTAGCTGAAACCCATAATTTTTGCGGGAGCATAAGGCTTTTGTTACACGAGGGTAACCCAAAATAGTATCTTGCAAATAAAAGTTTGGGGAATGCTTGGGCATTTTCACCGTGAAGAGTGCGAGGGTGAAGCTTGGATTGGGAATCGATCGGCGTCTGCCGAGAAGGGGTGTCGCCCCTTTTCAAACAACTATCTCACTCTCCATTTCTCTCCCCTTCGTATCCCCTACTATAAACCACTAACCATTGATCACATTAGTCCAGGGGACGTTGGACTTTGCCGACAAAATCCTCCAGTGATACTCGTCACTCGGATTTAACCCTCTATCGACCTTTTGGCAGTTGTCACATGCGTCATACAATCCGTTAAATCGACAATAATTCAATAAAAAATGAGAATAACAAAAAAAAATCATTTAAATTTTGGTGTAATTTTGAAAAAAAAAAATGGAGTTCCCATTTTTTTTCGACAATGAACTCTTGAACTTGTGACCTCCCACGTATTTGCGGTGCATCCCTGTCGACATAAATTATTCCATCTGCCGTGAACTCTTTCTGGCAGATGCCAGAAAAAGCCGGAATACCTGCGCTCGTTTGACGTCTCTTTGTCGCGTTTCACATTTTTTTTTTTCGCAAACCATGGGGCGAGGTTTAAAGCACGTGTTACCCCCCGGGGGTCGCGGGAAAATTTACACGGGTTTAGGGCTCGTTAGCCTGGTGACTTCCAGGGGAAGACGCGATCGATCTAGGGAGACCTGCTCCGGGTTATTCCGGGATGAACAGAAAAATTTCAATGATTGATGGAAATAATTTTGATTTGGCTTCAATAACTTCGAACCCGCGTCAATTATTTTTTTTTTCTGTCAATTATTTTCGAAATTCTCTCACCTGACGTCTCAGGGACTTCCGTATTGGCGATTCCATTCTGCCCTGGGCTCCTGGAACTCGAAGTCCGGCCCAGGGGTTCCATCCGGATGACTTCGCTGCTTTCCCGCGTCGAGTGTCCCGGCATTTTCAAATGTTTATCTTAAAAAAAATGAAATTTTGGGGTCGATTTACGGAGAAATCAATCAAATCTGCAGCCGCTCTTCAAATTTCCCGCCATCGGGCTCGGAAAGGTTCGTGGGCCCCGCGGGGAATTCCATTGTTCCCGAATTCCGGTGGCGCCAGTGGTCACAAATTTTTTCTTTCTCCTTTGTATTTTTGTTTTTTTCGATCTCGGGCTTCTGCGGAGGCCTTTCTAGTCGTCTTTTGGTACCCGTTTGAATGCGCTTTCTATTTTTTTATTATCTCGACTACTCTCTCTGTAATTAACGAGTGCAGCTTCCCATTTTTTGTCCACCTTTTGCACATTCATGTTCAGTTGAGAGGCGCTGATTCATTATGCGCGGTTGATTCCTTTGTTCCACACATGTTTTTCAAATCTTCCATAGATTTTTTCGATTTGTTCCGCAGCTCTGGCGTGACTTGAATCTGCGAAGATTATTACGGAATCAATTACAGATTGATTGATTCATCAAATCATGCAATGGAAAATGTTGCAGATCAAAAATCGAGTGTCTTTGATGAATCAATAAAAAAAAAACCCAAATTCGTGCAATCGCGTCTAATTAGCAGTCTAATTACTTTAATTACTTTATTGTTTTTTTCAATTAATTTATTGTGGATAATCAATTTTTTCACTCTCCGCTGATGATCTGCAATTGTTTGGTTTTTGAAAATTAAGGAATTCATTTGGAAATTGTTTTTTGGGAGGTAATGGAGGACGAGTTGTTCTGATGGGAATATGATACAATCCGTCAACGTCTAGGAAATCCGCGGATTATATAACTCATTGAGCAAAATACTAGACATCTGTTTACCTCATCGTTCATTTTTCGACGGGGAATTCTGTCGGCAATACAATACTCTCGGGAAAATTTATATCTTAATTCCTCCAAATTGACGAGAGAATGACATTGAATCTCAAATTTCAAGATAATTAACTGAAGGACTTCGCAACGCATCGGAATTCTTTGACAGAAAGTGAAATTCTCATGAAATCCTGCATTAATTACAACTGAGAATAAATTATTCAATGGGAAATTATTTTTTTTAGGGAGAACTTTCCAATTTTTCCGGAAATTCAAGGAAAAGGGTTTTATGTAATTGATACAATAATTAATAATTAAAATTACGTATATTTTGGGGGAAATAATTATTCACTGGAAAATTCGCGGATTTTCCCAAATTCCGGGAAATTCAGAATTTATTGAATTTTCACGCAAAATTTTTCATTCCTCCGAATACAATAATTAATAATTAAACTTACGTATATTTTGGGGGAAATAATTATTCACTGGAAAATTCGCGGATTTTCCCAAATTCCGGGAAATCCAGAATTTATTGAATTTTCACTCAAGATTTTTCATTTCCCCGCCACATATTTCCGGTGTAAAAAAACCGTAAAAAATTTCCGGACCGTAAATTCTCCCGAATTTTTCCCCGACACGTGGTGACCACCCCCTGCCACCCAGGAAGCCCCAAATCACCCCTGAACATCGGAATTTCAAATTCAAAAATCGATTCGACCGATTGAATCTAATCGAATCGCTTTGCCCAACTATATCACCCATAATTGCATGAAAATTACCGGTAATTCCGGTGCATGAGATAGAGTGAACAGAGTACTGAATAGCCCGGAGGAAGTCGAAGGATCCATCACAACAATCCGAGGATAAATCAGATGACAAGTACCGAACAATGTCTATTGATTAATTATTCACGGGATAATACACGCTAATTGCATAATTACCATAACAACCCCCGAAGTGACTCACCGGTTCAGGCGACTGGAGCGACTGGAGCGACTGGAGTGACTGGAGCGAATAGAGCGATCGGAGCGATTTATGGCGACGTGTGAAAATGAAAAAAAAAATTACTAGCAATTAACTACGATAAATAATGGGTTAACTGCGTCGATGCAAACCCTCGGACGGTGAGAGTGCTACTGAATTTCTAGAGTTGAGCGTCGATGAAGATCCGGACGCAGGGAGGCGCGACGGTCAGGCATCAGCCACAGGTTGCGCTGCTCTATACCCCGCATGCAAAAATATAAAATGCAATAATTTTTTCTCGTTACACAAAAAAAAAAAATAAAAATAAAAAGGCAACGATTTTCCCATTAAAACGAAGAGAATTTTTTTAATTTGTTCCGCTGAATTAGGGACGTCTCATAATTATAATTGATATATCATTTTTGCCGGAAATGTATAATCAATATATCGTGAATATATCATCAATATATTTTGAATATATCATCAATATATTGCGAATATATCATCGATGTATTTTGAATATATCGCCAATATATTGTGAATATATCATCGATATATTTTTTATATATCGTCGATATGTTTTGAATATATCATCGATATATTGTGAATATATCATCAATATATCGAATATATCTCGAACAATGCATTTTTTGGTGATATGCATGATATATATATATCCCGATATAATCGATATATATTTCTCGATATATTCTGCCCACTATATTAAAAATATCAATTCACCTAAAACTTCTGTAAATACCGATCGTCAATAGAATAATAGTCCGCCATCCCCCACAGTCGCCTTATCAATTATTGCTCTGCATTTTTTATGTACGATATATTTATATATTTTCACACCTAGATATAAAAAAAAATCGTTCCCTACAGGGGGAATCACGTGGAAATTTTCCCGGGGGACTAACCGAGGAATTCTCCACTCATGAGATCAATAATTTCAATGGAATTCTGAGAGGGGGAGGGGAGGGGGCTATCCTCCATAAAAAATATAATTATAATTAAGTCTGAGTGAATATATTACTTATTTATAATTGTATAAGAATCATAACATAATTATAATTTCAGATATTTTCAGTGAATACCGATTTATCAGAAATATTTTTTAAAGAAATTTTTAGCTTAATTAATCAAATAATTTGTGGTATAATAATATATTGTTGTTTGGATTATTATTATATATTTGTGGAATAAATGGAATTTAATTACTGGAATGAGCAGTTGGAAAAAATTGACGAACCCATACCGCAGACTAGATAATTCAATAAATTTTGTTATCAGTCGATTCTAGATAACGCGCCTTTCAGCTCTGAGTTGTTCAGTTCAAGTATTTCTCTACCTCGTGTACAATTGATCTCCAAAGTATTGGACACTCGTTGCCAAGATGATGGGCGTAAGTACCTCAAGATTTAAACTCAAAAAATGAAAGAAAAAATAAAAATCTTTCATTTCCCGGAATTTTAGAGCTCTTTCATTTCGAAAAATCAATTAAAATATATTCCTTATTAAAATTCTTTGGGTGTAGATGTACTTTCATTTTGGAGTGACAGAAAAGGCGATTCTCTTCTCAGGATGGCGGACAACCGATTGGCAGGGAATCCTGGGATCGATGATCGGAATTATTCTCCTCGCGTCGATTTACGAGGGCCTGAAAAATTATCGGTAATTCAAATTTTCCAATTACTTCGTCAATCACCCGATGTCATCACAACATATCGTCGAGGAATTCCTCGTCTACCGATTTTTACAAATTAATCTAGCAAAACAATAATTAAAATCAATTAATTATCCTACCGGTTGCTCTCCTGGATTTTCAAGATCTTAATTAAGGGTTCTGTACCTGAATTTAGTATTCAAACAAAATGTTGTTTAATTAGGGAGAATTTATTTCTTCGAACAACTCTGAGGAATCGTCACGGTTTAGGAAAATTGACTCGAGGAAAAGCTCTCGTTTCGCCGATTCATCTTCTCCAGACTCTTCTGCATGTGGTCCAGCTGATCCTTGGGTACTTCCTCATGTTCATATTCATGACTTACAATGTCTGGTTGGCACTGGCTGTTGTTATTGGCACTGGCCTCGGATATTGGATATTTGCGTGGGATAAATGCACCAATGAGCACACGGATTGCTGCGGTTGAAGTGATCTTCCATTAAAAATCAATTAAAACCCATAAACGTCATCATAATTATCCTCGAATTTACCACCAAGAAACCAATTACAAAAATAATAATCATTACCGTTTTGTTTTGTAATTAAAATATAAAAAGTGAATGACTTTATATCATTGGGTAAATGTGATTACGATTTTGATGCCGATTCCCGCCGAAGCTGTCGACTTTACGAAAAATTATCATAAGACCTTTTCCATCGAGAATTTAATTCCCTACAAAAAATTCCTTTATGAATTCCACCGTAAATCGATTGTTCCCGAGATAAATGGATGGACATGAATTCATTAGCGAAGTGCCAAACGAGACGAGTGGAATTCGATCTTATAATTATCGATTTATCTCAAAAATCATCGACTCTAGGAGAAAATGCCAAAAGTCCTTTTATCAAGGGAATATCATCGTCCACAAAAAAGTCTTTTGACGTTTTTCTGTCAACCCCGTACTTTTGAACATAAACTGCTAATCAACGAGAATATTAAATCCCAGTTCAGGTTAATCACAATTAAAGGTTGACAGTTTACCGCTTAATTGCTGGAGTACTCGTGACATCAATTACCAACACAACTGTCAATGCAAACAGACGAGGGGATATCAGTGTATTATCGGTTTTTATCTGGGGTGATTAGCTCGAAAAAATGTGAACCTCGTACTTAATTGGAATGTTTCAGTGGCTCAGGTGAGATTGAGAGTCATGGATACGATGGACACCACCAGAAGTACAGAGATTATTTGCTGTCAAGGTGGTTCAACATCTGGTGATGACAATGACGTATCCAACAGGGGAGTGATATTATCTTGGGATAAATTCAATACCAGAATTTGGCTCGTCTTCGTCGGGTCTTTTGTCGTCTGGGCGGTGGCATTTTTCTTGGCGTATCAACCGGGAAATGGATCCATGGATCATGGATCGATGGATCATGGATCGATGGATCATGGATCGATGGATCACGGAGGAATGCATCATTAAGGTAATTGAAAAATTCGGACTGCAAGAAATTTTTCAAAATCGAATTCGCATCGATTTCCGTTGGGAAATTTTATTGGAAAAAATTGTAGAGTATTCTATTTGTTTATAAAATTTTATTCCTTAGTATTTGTTTATAATTTGTTGTTTGTTCAGGGGAATCCTCAATTTTTTAGATCAGAAAAAATTAATTGATGTTGCAAAAAGCGGCAGATCGTGAAAAAAATATAAGATATGAAATTTTAATTTGTTTAAGTTTGAATAATTAATTAATTGTTGCTGAATTTGGAGGGATTGAACTGGGATTCATTGTGAAAAGGGGAGATTGAGGAATTGAATTGCTGATGGATTATTTCAGGAAAACAGTTCCCGGAGTTTTCACTGGTTTTAATTATTTCTATTGTCACGTGAAATTAATTTTAATTCAAACATCAGATTAATTCTCTAACAATATATTGGTGTTAATTAAGACTTCCCACCCCTTTTTATTTTCAGAGAAACAGATCAACGAAATATTCTCGGATCCAGTCGAAATCACGACCAATTGATTTTCCCACCGCTCGCATCCGAATAACTCACGACTGAATTCCCCAGTTCCAGTCGATTCATCGCTTCAATTAACCCCGACTCATTATAACTCGATTGATTACCCAAAAGACGAGTCAATCGAAAGCGAGAAACTTCAGAAATTTCATAAGAGACCTCCATTAAAAATAAAATCAAACTCAAACGATTTCTATAAAATCCCTCAAAAAATCCTCCAACAAAAATTTGAATGAATTTAATTAACCAATAAATTCTTCAGAGCCGATATATTTGCATGGAATTTTTTATGGATATTGAGGAAAAAAAACGATTTGAAGGGAGCGATAAAAAAAGGGACCGATTGGATGGGCAGTGGTGAATCCCGAAATATTTCTCGATCTCCTAAATCCGATACAGGTGACCGTGTTTTCCGGTCGTGTCGTAAACCCTCTGCAGTCGTAACTCCAGTCGAGAGATCGATTTCAGACCCGGAAGCTATTCATAAGTCTTGAGTGAGAGGACTTAAATCCTCATTGCGCCCTAGATTCAAATGTCTGGTACATCGATTTTTCGAAATCATCAAATCCTTATTAAAAAATTTTAATGTTAATAATTTTACGTTTTTTTTACTAAAAAATATCGAAATATCTTATAAATTTTCAAAAAGCATTAACAATACCATAATAAATGAATAAATAATAATAAATATAAATATATCATATAATTATATGATATATTTGATATATCATAATAATAGAGTGGACATAAATGTCGATATATTCGATAAATATATCTCAAAATATTTAGACGATAATTAAAAAATATATTAATAATTATGTGATATATCCCTGATATATCGAATTTTATACCGGAATATATCTGTGTATATTTAACATATATTTCGCATTTTACTGCATTATAAATATTTTTATATCAATATATCAGATATAGGAATGATATAGTTGGATTCCAAGTCCGAAGGAAAAATTCACTTCCTTCTGGAAAATCCCGGATGAGGGGCCATTTGAGGGGGCAATTTCCTCCCCCTAATTATCCCACCCCATTATTCCCCTATCGTTCTTCACCGCTGGTTAATTATCCTGAAGAAAATAGAAGTTTACGTCGATAATGAGAAAAAAAAAAATGGCTTCATCTAGACAGAAAGTTGCTGGGAGGTGTAATACGCTTCCACGCGTTTGTCTGGTCGATATTTGCCGTTGGCTCCCTCTATATCAAATATATATATATGTGTAGATAATATATAGATTATCTCTATGTACCCAGAGCCCAGGGCTTTCCACTCCCACATGAAAAACCGTGTATATAGGTATATCAATTATACACACATATATTGCGACAGAAAATTCAATATATCAGATATATATCACGTATAATTGTGATATATATATATTTTTTTTGGTGAAGGCTTCCATTTGTACCTCCGCACACACCCATTTTACAAGATCTTGACGTAGATATATATAATATATGGGGATATATTCGGTGAATATATCGGGGATATATTGTATTTAATTATTGATGATATATTTTGATATATTGAGGGATGTATTTAATTGGGGATATAATTATGGTTGATGCTGTCAAATATTGATAAATGCATGTTTATATATTGAGTTTTTGGAGAATATATTTGAATATATTAAAGATCAATGGGCGATCCCATAATTTCGTCGACAAAGTGCAGAGGAAATTATCGAACCATCTGGGAATAATAATTCTGGCTTGCGGCCAATTTCTTCGGAACTACTTGTTGAATTTCAAGGAACAGAAGAAAAATCTCTCATTACTCCGCATGAAATATATCAATATATTAATATTAATAATTGGCTAAAAATGTTCGAAAATTTTTAATCAATTCACTGTCGACGCAGTAAATTTTTTCATCCCTTCAATCATTTCAAATAAATTCTTATTAATCCAAATAAATATTTTAATAATGCAATATCCAAGGGCTTCAATTGTTTATTTATTTAATATCAATAAATAATTGTTCTATAACAAAATGGAGGAGTTGTTTCCATAGATTTGAGAATTTCAGATGGCGATTTTGATTTTGTTGAAACGGACCATTCGTCTGTGAGCAATTATCATGGAGTAATTAATTGTTTTTTTTAATTGTTTAGAATTTGTTAATGATAACGAATTTGTTACCGACGAGAGTCCGGGGTTTTCTAAATTCTGAACAGATGCCAGCACGTGTACGGACTGAATCTACTGGTCGCAGCAAAATAAAAATCAACCCCTTCCGCGTCTTTTTTTTTACCGCAAACTCCTCCTCATCTAACAATAAATTAATTAAATCATTAAACAAACATTGAACCCTAAATTTGAATTTTCAATTGTCATTACTATTATAATCCACTTATTCCCCCGATCGCTGAATTAATAAAAATAAATAAAAATAATAAATCATTCAAATTTTTTTAACAATAATTTTTACGAAATAATGAACTGATAGTAATAATATTAATAATATTAATTACTTATTATTAATATTATAATTCGTAATGAATGATAATTTTTTGAAATTCTTGTTTCAATCAATTTTTCAGATTTTTCAATTTTTGCATTTTTTTTTGCAGGAGATTTGCAGGTGAATTTCATAAAATCATGAATCATTAATAACTGGGTGATAATAAATACTGGGTTTTGTCGTTCCTCAAGGATAATACGACGCAGTGATTTCGCAATATTCGCGAGTCAGATCGCGTGTCCAGAGTTGCACTCACTGAATTTTGCGTTATTTAGCGTCTGCTCTAGAGGCCAAGGCCGTGTGTGTCGCCATCCACTGGTCATTTGTATTATTTTTCACCAACTGTTTCCCCAACTTTCAACAATTTATTTCATTCACCCACCTCGATCCAAGAATTATCAAAAAAATTAAAAACCCCAGAGACCATCAAAAACCAATTTTTCCACTCCTCCCGAATTTTCCGAACAGCAATTTCCCATAATTAATTAATTAATCGAACAATCCAAATTCAAACAAAATAATTAATCAATCGATTCCAATAATTGAGGAATCAATTGTTGTTTTTAATGCAAATAAAAATGGAGTCTTCACTTTGCAAAATATTTTGATGATTTTATCATTTTGTCATTTCGTAATTTCAAAGTTATGAGGGGAAAATAAAAATAGTGGAGACTTGCTCGCGTTGATAATTACAATGATTTCACTTGGTTAATGACTCGAATAAAATAAAACCGAGGCCCTGATTTTCCGAAAAAAAAATCAGGGCTCGCCATCAACACGAGTTAATCTAGGAAGACATTAGTGACGTCAAGGATTTAAGCGTAAAGGTCCTGACAGAAATTTACAACGTAAACCTTTTGGTTTCGTGACCGCAGAGATAACGTCGATTCTTCCGGCAATGACCTGCCTTATACCTGACCCCATTCAATCTCGTGAAAACTTTTTCACCAACTATCCTGTCCATCAAGATGACCTTTTCGTATTATTTAATCGCCAATCCCAGGTACACGAATTATTGGCCACGGATGGGCATCAGCCGTTCGATTTTATCCGAAGGCTGTCGAAAAAAATTCATTCATTCCTCAATGAAATCCTCACCCCCTCAATCTGATAAAAAAAAAAACAATCTATTACTCTGATCCATGGAATCAAATAAAAAAATAATTTTTCCTTTTGCAAATGGAATAACACTAACACCTCGTATTAATTATATATAATAAATTATTAATAATATAAATTATTAATAACTGAACTTTCATTCAATTCATCATTTTTTAATCTAAAGAATAATAATAAAAAAATTATTTAACTCTCACAAATTTATAAACAAATCCTGTCGGTTAAAATAAATATTTTTTGTCATGCAACAAAAAGTCCCGGGATAATCACTAAATAAACAAAAAAAATAAATAAACCAAAGCGACGAGTGAGTGAATAAAATCCCCTCCCCTCCTCCCATTTTGCTTTAACGTTGTTTTAATTGCGAGGGAAGTGGAGGGAATGGGTGAGAAAAAAATCGTTAGGGGTAGAATGTTATGGTAGAATACTTAAAATTTTAGTTGTACCGCAGAGTGTGATAAGGTGGTCTTGATTCTTTGCACGCAAGTCTCGCCCCCTTGGAGGCCGTTAAGGACGTTTCCGTTAAGGACGTTAACTACCCAGAGGTTTTTCGTCATGACGTCGCCGAGACGTTGTGTCGTCATAACCAAGGGGTCAAGGTACACCGGATTCATTTATGTATCAATCCTATTGAATTAAAAAAAAAAATCATCGGCCCAAAATTCTCTCCAAATTTTTTTTATAAACAATAACAATTATTGATTAGAATTTTGATAATGGGGTTTTTTCAAATTTCCCGGTATTCGTTGGGAATGGAGTTATGAGTCCAGTAACTCAACAGCAAATAGGGCAAGGGTTGAAGCTATTCGTGATTTATAGGGAAAAGGTGAAAGTCCTGAATCAACTGTCTGGAGGTGGAGGCGGTGGAGGCGGTGGAGACGGTGGAGACGGTGGAGACGGTGGAGACGGTGGAGACGGTGGAGGTGGTGGAGGCGGTGGAGGAAGAAAAAGAAGAATTTTATCGGCTCCGTTCAATTTGCCATCGATAAATATTCCCTCGAGCTACCGCTCGCTTTATTCTGAATTATTACATCGAGGTATGAGTACAGAGTACACCCAGGACAATTAATAGCATCCACGTCCTGCTGGACATCCTGGCGCCTCCACCTGGAATTATTTAATAAATAATTTCTAAAAAAATAACCGATTTCTTTTTCGAGAGAAATCAATTATTTTGATATGGGGGGTTAATTTTGTTTAGGGGTATTTTTATTTTATGAGGATTCATTTTATTTTATAATGACGACTCACTCTCGCAGTGGGAATCGTTTATTGCTCTCCAACCAAAATTGCAACTGCATATTCCATTTTTGCAGAGGACGGAGTTCTGATTGGATTCGATGTAGCACTCGGCGATGTTCTGACAGGTTTCCTTGAGAACTTACATAATTGGGTGATTAATAAAAAATTAATTGGGTACCTTACCACTGAAGTACATGAAAAGTTTAAAAAAAATTGGTATTAAATTTCCAATTTATTCAATTCGGTTCGAATAAAATTTTATAGTAATTATTATTAATAAAAATTATCATTATTATTAATTAAGGTGATCACCTCGCTTTCTGAAACAGCCCTCGAAATTATGATAAAATCCCTCCCCGCAGGCGCATGTTCCCGCTAAATCGGTTTCATTCTCTTCGAGTTCTCCCTCGGGTTCTGGTGTTAAAATTCTGCAAAAACTGTTTGGAGTTCTCGAAGAGCACTGGATATGATGCTTGCATGGTGCCTCCAGTGGAACGACTAAATGATTCCGGCGATGAATAAATAAATAATGGTAAAACGTTGCTTTTTTTTATTTTCCCATGATTACCTGGAACGCAGAGGTTCACTGAGGCAGCGACATGTTCATTGTGACAGCCGCAGGTGCCATTTCTGCAGACAGAATTGGGAACTTTGCAGTCGAGATTTTGATTGCAATTTGCGAAGTTCCCCGGAAGACATTTACCCTCTGATTGGTAATGATTTTCAGCGCAAACACAGGATTTGTCGGCGCAAATTGAATTTTCTGTGGTGCAGTCTTCGTTGCCAATGCAGAACCCTCCGATTTCTCAATTAAATAAAATGAGAGAAAACATTTTATTTCTTCGATGTTCTGAATTCGAATGGATTTTTCGGAGAATTTCAATAGAATCGTCGCAAAGTTCCAGCGGAACTCCACCAGAGTCCCGACAGAACTCCAAATTCTTGATGAAAGTTCCAGTTCTATCCATTAAATTCTTCCATTAAAAATTTATTTACCGTTTTGATCGTTTATGCAAGTCGATCTGTCGGAACTGACGTGCGTTCCGTTCAGACAGGAACAGACGAACCCGTCGCAGTGAACAGGAACGTCAGAACTTCTGATGTAACAGTCTTCATTTTCAATGCAGCTCTCCCCTACACCTCTATTCCTCCAACAGAACATCTTATCATCCACGTAATGAGATTTATCATTGCAGACGCATTTCCTGTCGGTGCAGACAGCGTCAGGACCGAACACGAAACACTGTTCCTGGAACAGACACGAAGTTCTGTACCTCGTCGTCGCTTTTTTGCACTCACGATTGCTGATTGCGGGAACGTGTGTTGATTTACAACTCCACACATCCTCACGACAGACGGAGTTCTTGATTTGCGGGAGTTCCGGGGGTGTGCACGGTTCACCGAGTTCTACGGAAACAAATTACAGGTGAATTTCGTTGGGAGAAATAATTTTTTCAGAGTGCAGGGAACGGACAAATACCGGGAATGCATTTATCTCCGGTTCCAGACAAGAAATGCGCTCGATCGCAGACACAAGTTCCGTGAGAACTACAAGTGGCTGAACCCATGGAACTACAGTCGGAGGACGATTTACACGATTTTTTAATCCACTCAGGATTTAATTTTACGGCTCTTCGTGGACTGAACTCCAGTCGTTCAACGACTGAAGTTCCGCTGTCATTCAATTGACAGCCCCTTGATTTATCGCACGTAGCTCTCGCGTCAAATTTGCAATCGATATCAATAGCACAATCTTCTCCGATTTCTGCAACCAACAAATTGATACAAATTATTTCAATAAATCCCAATTATTATTAATAATAATTATTATTTTTGGCTCTAGATGGAGTATCGATTTTTTTTTTTTGGAAGAATCATGGCTTTTTTTTAAAATACTTTGCGCTGCACGTCTGCAGCTGCGGTATTCACGCTGATAAAATTCACTGCTGCATCGACACTTGTTATTTTCACAGATCGCTGCCCCGGGCTGATAATTCACGTAACAGTTATCAGAGGAGAAACACGTCTCACCGAGTTCTGTAATGTCAATTAACATTCGTTATTTCCTTGATTAATTAGAGTAATTAAAACAGAAAAATGCCTTCCATCACAATAATTCAACATCAAAATTAAAAACAACAAATAAATGAAAATTATAATAACTATACAATAAAATGAAGTTTTTCATAATCTCAATAACAATCCGTTCAACTCGATAGAAAAATTTAATGAATTCACGACAACAATTGATTTCAGGTAAATAATAATAATATTATTATTATATAAATAATAATAAATAATAATAAAATAATAATAAATAATAATAAAATAATAATAAATAATAATAAAATAATAATACATTTAAAAAATAATAATAATTGAATTATTGGAATATATTCAATTGAAAAATTCATAAAATCGATTTTCGATGGTATTCTTTTTTTTTTTAATAATAATTGCAATTGAACTAGTGATTGGAGTTTTATTTCAACATGGCAGTGATTTTAAAGTGTCAACGTGTCAAATGAATTGACCCATCGACGTCGGACGTCGATGATACGTGACGTCTCGCCGCAGAGACCTCCGAGACAATCAGGACCTGATCTACCACATACCAATGACGTACCAACACCTGACCGATGTGGTCAGGACTCCCTGGGGTATGCGTACGCGCATTATGTGCCGATTCAATTATTCCTCGAGGATTACAATTACCTCAACAACCAACACCGAGCCAAATTATCGGTATTAAAATAACGGTAGGACTGACTCGGGTAGAAATCGGGTATAGATTAAATCTGGAATCAGGCACTGATCAGGCATGCAATTTTCGGTCAGAGACACTTTCGCGAAAAAAACCAGAATTTTTTCAAAATTACTAATAATTATTATTAATTATTATTATTATTAATTATTTATTAAATTCTCGGAGAATTAATTGACGAATTAGTCAATGTCCTGAATATTCAGGTACATATAACCCCGAAAAACGGGGAAAATTAGGAAAATTCAATCGCGTTTTCATGCTGAATTTTTCTGGTGAACAGGTGTCGGGTTTTTCATTAATTGTTTATTAAAAATTTCTCACCGGATTTTTTGTAACAAAATCCGTGCAGATAATGGAACCCCGGGGAACAGGCGCATCTTCCACTGGTGCAGGTTCCACCAGCAGAAAGATATGACGAGCATTGAAGACTTTCCTCGCAGGAGTCGCCGTAGCTTTCCGCAACTAGAGAATTTTCCAGGATTCATAATAATATCATAAATATAATATAATAAACAATTCACTCCAATTACATCACATCAATTGCATCCAACGACTCGAGTCTGCATTAAAATAGATAATTAATTAATTATCATTGCATTATTCAATTATTAATTAATACCAGTACCGAGTATGAACATGAGAAAAAACTTAAAAAGTTTAAAATTCTCGTTAAAATATTTTTCATTGTTAATTTTTGTTAATTGGCTTGCCTCTTAGACATCTCGTTCCATCGCCACTAAATAAAAATCCATTAGTGCATCGACACCGATGAACTTCGCAGGCACTATTCACCGGACAATCAGAGTCTTGAGAGCATTCCTGGGGATGTTGAACCCCTACGCTCTGACATCCTGAAAAATAATAGACGAGTGCAGAAAAATCGAAGGGTGTGGAGATAATTGACGGGTGGCGTGTAAAAAGGACTCGATAACAACGAAATTACGTCTAAAAGTTTACATTGTCGACTAATGACTCCTCGGAATGGGGTAGAAGGCCTGAATGCGTGATTCCGAATAATTCTGGAGTGCATTCTGTTCTTCTGGGATTTTACTGATTACAAATCGATGGGGAAACCCCGGAAAATTATTTTTCCCTTCCCCTCGGGTGAATAACTGAAGAATTTTTATTTTCTGAAATCCTGGTGAATTCTCGTGGAAATTCTCAGTGAATTCCATTAAATATTTCTATCGAAAAAATCAATCCTCAGGATTTTTTTAATAAAAAATATTTCACGTGTATTTTACAAGTTTTATAAATAATTAAATAATTTTGGAGAGTACAAAAACGTCATGAGCAAAATTCAAGCAGAAAAATTGGAAGGACTCGATTTTAAAATTAGAATTTTAATTGGAATTTCCGGGAATTTCAATCGATTTATTTTATTTCATTTGGGTTTAGTTTATTTACTGAATTTTTCGTAATTACCGTTGAATCCGGGATTCCCCGAGAAAAACAGAGAGAGTAAAAATATCGCGCGGATCCCCATGCCTCGACTGAATTAAATTCCTCTGTTATCACCAGCTCATTGAGCCAACGATTATCTACAATATAATATCGACTCCGAGAGATATCGAACACCTGCGCGAGTTATCGTGTAATATTCGTTTTAGATAAGATTTCCGAGGGTTTAAAAAATTTATTTTTTAACAATGTAATGTCTTCATATTCCCCGGAGCCACCGACACATTACAAAATAATCCTCAGCCCTGGAAATAGTAAACGGATATCCCCAGCACTTTTATGATACCACAAGTGCATTTTATAGCTCCACCAATTACTGTGGGTCGATTTTTGTATTCGTGACTCTAAAGTCAATGGTTTTGCTGGCACCACCTGTTTTCAGCATCTCAACTCCGTATCCTTTTTTCTTTTGGATTTTAATTTCAATTCTCTCTTGCATCCAGGGAATATTCTATTTGAAATTATAAACAATTCGTAATTATTAAGTAATGATTATTTTTTTATACCAATGTTGGATTTCGGGGCTTTCCCCGGGTACAAAATTCATTCCTCCAATTTATTTTTATATTTACAGATTTACGAAATATTTATTTCCTAATATTTATTTATTGTTTGTTTATTTATAATCAGATTATACTGCCTCAGCACAGATTTTTAAAATATTTTAAACAATAAATTTATCTTTTTGTAATTATTAAGTCATTTGTGTAATTATTAAGTAATGGTTTTTTTTTTGGAGATAGTAATGAATTCAATAAAAAATCGAGATCATACAGCAGAAATTTTTTGAATATTTTAAACAATAAATTTATCTTACGACGCTGCAGCACTGGTTGGTCACACGAGTAATAACTACATGAATTATTGAATCAATCTCAATTATTGGGGAGATTGTCGCTATCTTCATCACTCCCTTGACCCCGGGACATCTTATTGACACTATGTTGTTGAATATAAATGCTCTAGTTCATCGTAAACGATCAGTTGAACCAGAAACATGAAAGTGTCTCTTGGAAATCTCGGTGAGCCTTCCAAAGTGTTGATTAACCACAAGTTTCATCAATGATTATTAATTATTAATTATTCGCTTGAGTGGACTAAAAATCATGTTTGTTTTCGATAGGTAAAAAAAATCCAGACGTCGAAGCCGGGGAGGATAAATCAGTGAAGATTCTGGTGTCCGCTGAGAGCAAGTCTTCTAGATGCTTCAAGATTATAAAATTGATTTTTTATCTGGAGATAATCCTGTTCCTGGGGTTATTTGGTTTTATCACGATTCAGTGGTGGCTGGTGGGTCCAAAAATCTTTGAGTTATCATCCACGAGAGATGGGATCGCTGGGTTCCGGTGGACACCATCATCTGGGTCAGGAAGCGATGACCCCAGGACCTCGGGGTTGTCTGGATATCAGAGAGTCATCGATCCAGAAGATGAATTCGTTGTGAGTCAAGCTAAGACATTCGTTGATGATGACGTGAGCCACGAGACGTACAAAGCTGAAGAGATTGTTCCAGACGACTCGAAGGATTCGGGTATTCAAACTGGTTTGGGACTTCTCAAGGAAGATCCATCGAGAGAAGACACACCAGTAACACAATCAGCTGCAAGTGAATCCGCAGGGATGAGCGTTGGAGATCTAGAAGACAGCTACAAAAAAGAAGAACAGCTGTCAAGAGTTTGGGAAGACGCCGATGTCTTCCGGAGTTCTAGCTCAGAAACTCCCGAGGATGATGAAAGAACTGTCTCGACTCAAGGTAGTGTAGAATCTGTAGATGAACCTGGAAATGATTCAATTGTCGAGCCCCCGAGTTCAACACCAGAAGAGATCGAAGGACTGATCAATCCATCGACAACACCGAATCCTGAAGAGATGATCGTTGATTATTTTGAATACGACGATCCGACGTCTTATGAAAAATCATTCGGGGAATCTGAGTTGTCGGGGTTCAGCACTGGAGCATCCCCGAAAGACTCGGAATATACCAGCGATTGGCCGGATGTCTATGACGAACGATATTCACCAGAAGAAAAATGTGGCGAGGGTCAAATTAGCATATCTAGTCTTGGAAATCTTCGGCTATTACTCCCTGAAGACCGGCTCGGCTGTATCGATGGTAGAACAGTGTACGAAATAATCTTCAAGTATAAAAATGCCCGGAGCAGCATCCGGGCGTCTGTGTCGACGCACGCGGGGGAATCCCAGTGAAAATCGCGCGGGAGTTTCAAATTAAAAAACCGAAAAAATTGGATAGACCATTATATTCGATTTGGATTGGCTCCTGGTGGATTCTATTGTGATTTTTTAATATAAATAATACCTAACACCTCATGATTGTTATAAATATAAAATATTCGATGAAATAAATTTTTAACACTCGGTTTTTATATCGGGAGCCATTTAGTGAAGCGTTGGGAAGATTCTTTGCAATTTATTTTTTCGTGGCTTCAGGAAATTCCCCCACGTCTCGGTGAGGATTCGAACCTGAAGAATTCGAAATCGTCGCATGAGCCGGAGCCGTCGGAGAGCATGAAAAAAACAATTACGACGATAAGAGTATTTTAATGACCACTCCAATTACAAAAGTTTGCAGTTTCGCGTGATCGACGTAGCGTTATAATTCCCAGGAGCTGGTAGATCTCATTTCGGTTGATTCAGGTCGGGGCTTCCCCGTAAATCAGCCCCGGGAGATCAATCGAATTTGAAAAATGCCTGAGCAACGCGACATTCTCGCACACTCATTAGTCATTCCATCCAAGGAGATTTTTCCCTGATTTTAAATTCCAATGACACTCGTGTAAATGCGAAACGAATCGAATTAACCTTTTGCCTTATCAAATGTTGAAGCGCAAGGGCACACATGGAATTTAATTAGGGGGTGGTTTGTGGTCTTGAAATGTTTACCATATATTTTATTTAAATAATTCATTCGTTCATTTACGTCATTGAGATTAAAATATTTTCTATTACCCGGAAATGTTTATCCGTATTTTATCGAGATATTGAAATTGAAAAATTATTAATATAATTATTATTATATTAATCATGAAAAATATTGATTTGCCTGGAATTTCAATTATCGTTCATCCTGATTAATAATTTAATTCTTCAAGTGGGTAAGTGATGAAATAATAAATTATAACAAATGATTGACAGTTGATTCGATGATGGGATTTTCCAATTGTTTCCTGATGGAAATACTTCTGGAAATGATTAAGGCTGTTGATCAACCCCTAGACTTTATCCGAAGGGTTGCGCCAGTGCGGTGGCAGCACGATAAAATAAAGAGGTGGGGTAGCACCTTCAGGAGGGCTTAAAAGACCTTCCCCTGGTGTCTCAACACGCAGTACCCAAGCCCCAGTCAGTGGTGTTAAATCATATTTAGGGAATAAACCTGTGCCACCAGCAATCAACAGGACGAATAATAATTTGTGATCAAGACCAGTTGATTCTCACCCAGTCATCAGAGTTTTTATGAATCGTGTAATAATGAAGAACGTGGTGGTGTCTCTGGGTGTGATCTTGATGATTCTTCTGCCAATGTCAACGAGCGCTCTCACAACATTCGGCAAGACCAATCCACAGAATCAGAATCCACCACCACCACCTGCTCCTGGTATGTTGTCTTTTACGGGATTGGCTAGTTTTTTTTTTTCACTCCAGGGATTAATGAAGTCCATTTTTATGACATGGAATTGGTTGGAGATTATTCTCTCGTTCTAGCTGATGACCTTTTACTGAATATCTCGGCTTTTGGTCGTTTAACTAGCATGGGACGAAGTGGTGGGAGACCTGGCATGAAGACGGGATACTTAGGACATAGCTGTAAATAGATTGCACGAAATCTGTCACCAATTGCACGTGTGTGTTTTTTCAATTGAGGGGACAATATTTATCCAAAATTACCGAAATACAATATTTTATTAAACGGAAATTAAACGGAAGAGTTCGCGATTTTTATTAATTTTCAATTCTCCATTCGTTGGCTCATTAAAAAAATTATATTATTATTATTAATAATGATCATCTATTAATTATGAAAAAACCGAATTCGAAGTTTTAAAAAAAAATAATTTATATAAAATCCATTAATTCAATAAATTTCAAAAAAATTCAATTATTGAATTTTCTATTTAATTTTCATTATTTCTTATAAATTCATATTTTATTATTTAATTTCATTCTGAATTTTGAAAAAATGAAAAAAAAATCTGACGCGCCATTTTGTCGCACGCGAAATAGGAAAATACTGGAGGATATTTGTTTATTGAATATTTCTCTATTTCGGGAGGGATGATTTTTTATTTTGCTTTTTGATCGTTAATACAATACCGTCTTGGCTGGAATATCGCGTGATAACTGGAACGTGTGTACAAGGTTGAAGATGGGAAAGCGATAGGGTGGATTCACGAAGAGGAAATTACAAAGTAATGCGAGGCACCGAGAAAACGGATTTCGGTGGGACGAAGGGGCTGAAATATTTTGTACTATCGATCAAGCACCATTTGTATTGTTGAATAACAATTCACATTGCACGAATGCTGTGACGTAACGGCACCTTTTCATGTACGATTTTTTTTTTCCAAATGATGAGTCATTGGATTCACACGGATGTCGTGAGGTTATCGGTGGTGCAAGTGTCAAAGTTCTGAGGAGAGAACATTTTCCCGCAACTCTAGTCGAGAGGAAATTAATAAAAATTACGATTAACGCGATTATTCAGAAATTTTACTATGAGATTATTTTTGATGGTCGATTGATCGAAGACTATTGACTCCACGAGAAAATGTGAAAAAATCATTTTTGCGGAGAATTTCATTGGCTGCAAAAAATATTTTCTCTGTTTTTTTGGTTGAGTCGATGGTTTCTGAGATAATTCGGCTGTTCAGAAAATCGGTAAATGGGTTGGTGTCATTTTTTGGGCGATTTCCGGTTGGACTCTCGAAAATTGATCGGGAATATTTTCTGGCTGCCTGTCTGATGCTTTTATTATAGAAGAAATAGTTCTCGCATGAGTTTCTCGTTTTATTAATGACGGATGAGAGAAAGACGTGATTTGAATTTCCAGTTGGAGTTGCTAAAACCTGCAAAAGCGAATCTGATTGCATTGGAATCGGCAACACAAGTTGTGTAGCTGATCCTAAAGATGGAAAAACTAAATGTCTCTGCAGTGATCTCACAGCTCCGTACAATGGCGCATGTCTTCATAAACGTGAGTCCCAATTTTCCAAGATATTCCGGGATTTTTAGGGACCGATCGGTGAATGATCGATAAAAATCGCAGTTAATGCCCAAAAATTGAGGATTGATCGGTATAAATGACAGTTCACTCCCAAAAATAGAGAATTATTCAGCAAAAATTACAGTTCAACCCCCAATTAAGAATTTTAAAAAACCCTCTCATGTGGACCAATAAAAAATAAAATATAATTTCGACCAAGGAATTCTCAAATTTGATGTGTCGTTGAAAAAAAAATCAACAAATCGTCGAAAGTGATACGCCACTCGCAAATTTCTCACGCAACCCTGAAAATTGCTGTGCAATGAAAATTGGAAAATTGTCCACCACAGCATGTACATTATCATGTACATACGTCACAGGTTCAACATGTCGTAGCTCTCGGGTCATTTGTCAGGAATATTTTCAAAGCCGAGTCATTTACATAGATAAAAATATATCGTGTAACTATAACCAAATGAACTAGCCGCGGAACTCTACGTACGCAGCGTTAATTTTATGGTAATTACACCCGCAGGAAAAAAAAAATACCATTCTTTCTCTCGGCTACAATTAGGCTTCTCTCATTTTACCCAACAGCCTCGACCTTTCACTGTGACCTTGAATTATTGTAAAACTGCCTATTGGATATCGAAAATAAATCGATAACAGTTCAATAAATAAACACATAAATTATCGCTTAAATTAAAATTTCTATTTCATTCTATTTCATTTGAATGAATTTATTAAATCTACGAAAATTCATTTTTTTTTTTTACAACTTTTAGCGGAAATTTTTTCGAAAATTAAACAAAATTATTAAATATCTAATAAATAAACGTCAATTGTTACTTTTAATTTCTCTATAAAAATTATTCTCGTAGAAAAATTTTAATAGAAAATCAATAGAATTTTTATTATTAATTATTGGATTTTCAAGGGATAAATTTAATATTTTTGTTATCAGCTGTGCATTCTCCTTGTAAGGACAATCAAGAATGCGGTCCAGGGGCTCATTGTACATTAGGGAATAGTACGACACATGTAAAGACATGTCAGTGTCAATACGGGTATTACGAGGAGAACATGAGATGCAATGGTAATTAATGTCTATTGATTTTAGACTGTCATTATTGACAGAATGAATTATTTTTCCGAGTCTACAGAGATTCTGTGGAATTTATTTGAAATGTTCATTGATTTCTGATTAAATTTCAGGCTGTCTGTCATCCCTGCAAAGTTCCTCAGTTCTGGTTCTTCTATTCAGCCTCATACTCTTAAGGAACATGAGTTCTTCATAATTCTGCGATAATTAGTGTAGTAATTAATAAAGGAATCCCATCAGTGGCGAAACGAGACGAGTCTCTTCAAACTTTCTACGAGAACTTTGAATTTGATAATATGAATTCTCCACTTTCTGCATTTGAATCGACTCATCTCGTTTTTTTTTTCAGTTTGTCACTGATTTCGACACTCTGAGGATCAATTGTTACGCAGAAGACTGCGACAGAGAGTACAACAGAAATTAATAATTATAAATAAATAATTGCAGTAGCGAAAAAGTGAAATGACAGGTCGATTCAATTAAGCGCTGAGTTTTCGGGGAATATCTCGGGATCTAGGAGAGATAGCGATATTTTTGTAGTAACCTTTTTTGTAGCGCTTATATTTTTTTATAAAAAAGGTCATAACGAAAATTGCGCTATCTCTCTTGGGCACTGAGATATTCCTTGAAAATCGGAAGAATGCAGAAATCGGTTTGTGAATCTTCATTTTTTCGCTACCGATTTCGTCGGGAGCCGATTAAAATGCTTGAGCTTTGAATAAATTACCGTTCGTTCGAGAGATCTGAAGAGTTCGTGTGACGTTTGACTCTAATTGCTTTTTTTCCTTGAATTATGCATTAACATTCGTGAAAGATGTTTCATATTTTACGTATCGAAGTTCTTAGTGCTGTGGTATTTTGTAATATTTGTATATTATACTTAGCTTAAGTCACATTTTCTGCAATTTTCGAGTATGAACGATATTCTGAGCACCAATAAATAACTGATAAAATTGATAACTCATAAAACTCCTCCCGTTCCCTCGACAAATCGTCAAAATCGAATAAACAAAATGAGAATAACAAATATGCTGTGCACTAATAAAATTCAAAGTACTTGATCAAGTGTTTTATTTCTTTTTGAATACAATATTTGTCACCGATTGGCCGATTTTTCCCCCGAATTTCATCACAGGAGCTGCGATCGTAAGTGCTACATCGAAATCTGAAATAAAAACGAATAAGATAAAAATATCGAGGGGTATCTCCAACCTCGAGAGACTTTCCGACGATTAATTGACAGAATGAACCCGAAGAATTTAATTTTAGGGAATATTTTCTCTAAATAGATACAAATGTGGGATAATATTGACTTTCTTAATCTAAATTAATAGAATCAACAATTAAAACTGTCAAATGTCGCGAATTGCATAATGATTATCTAGGAATGATGAGAAAATTGTTGAAAATTATTTAATCATTGCAGGCGAATGCTAAATGTTGAATTTATCGATTTGTGTCTATTGAACCCAGAGAAATATTAAAAATTAATGGCAAATGGCAGCAGATGAATAATTTTGTCTGCAACTCTGATTTACGTAGAGTTGCACCACGAAATTCCGGTGTCTTATAACGACTGTGACCCGGTATTAAAATATGAGCAACGAAAGTTGCTATTCAGCAGAATTCTAAAGCCGCCCAGAGGGATTTTGCGCAATTCTTCAGTTACGGTATCTGAGAGGTACTCAAGCAATTTTACTCCACAGAAAGATGACATCTCGTCGAAATGTGAATTCTATTCTGTTGCAGCATGTGAACACAATGCGATATTCAAAAAATTTTATGCGAAATGTACGGTGACAGGTTTAAATTTTTCTCAATATAATAATATAATATTTTGAAGGAATTTTTTTTTATAATATTTTTAATTGTGATTTTAATTATGATGATTGATAATTGGAGGAATTGATGTTATGGAGATGAATAAAACTCACAGTTCTCGAATTGTTTGACGAGTTCTTCTTGCGTCCAGTTGCAAGAGGAAATCACGAGATATCCACCGGTCCCCAGGATTTTGTGGACATTTTCCACGTACTGGTGCCTCTTCTCCGAGGAATTATCAGGGCTCAAGCTGATGGCATCGTAAGTCCCTTTATCGTGGATCAATCTGAACTCGTAGAGAAATAAATTGTCTTGGGTATTGAGAATATCACCAACCATGAGGTGGACCTTGCAGGGGACCACCTGATTGTCCTCGAGGACTGCTCTCGCCAGGTTGATGGCACTCGGGGCGTAATCTACTCCAACCAGATCCGTAAATCCTGCCTTGGATAATTGAACTAATGTCCAACCGTTGCCACAGCCAATGTCCAGGATTTTGTCTGTCCTCGAGAGACTCAAATCCTCACTTATGCATCTGGTAAAATCCAGAATTATCAGGGGAAAATTCAATGAAATGCTAATTAGGTTAATTACCTCACCATTTTCACTGCATTATTTTTACCGAACCAGACCTCACCGACGTCTCCGTGATCCTCGAAATTATCGATCTCCTCGGAATAGATTTTTTCCCAGCTGAAGAAATTTTACAACTTGTTTCACTAGATTTATTTTTCAATGAGCAAAATTCATTTGTTTATAATCAAATCGGGGATTTCAATTGAAATTGTTTAATAATTACAGAAAAAAAAATTGTATTGGATTTTTTTTAATGATGAATCGATTGATTTCTATTAAATGAATTTTTTCATTAGATCCATTGAATTTTTATTCAATTCATTTTTTATTATTAATTTTCCATATTGTATATTGTTATACAAAATATGTTTTTATAAACAAATGACAGAATTTCCCCATGAAGTCCGAAGATTTTCAATATTTCATTCTTATAAAATTGAAATTGTTAATTAAATGACAGCAATTATCGAGGATAAATTATTCCAGAATAAATTGTCTCCTAAAATTGAATTACAAAATGGAGATGATCGCATTCGTGTATTAAATTAAATCCAATGAGACTCCTCCCTTCTGTTTTCGTTTCTCAACTCGAAATAATAACAAACTTGTGACTCACTATTCCTTCGTCCCCAATTCCGAGGAATTCAGATCCTGCTCCAACTCCTCCCCCATTTTCCTCAAAACTGTGACAACAAAACAATAAAAACAATCACAAAATCGTGAAAAATCGATAAATAAACTGAGAATAATAATTAAAACTCGGAGGAACAGTAAATAACGCAACCACGTGTCTTGCCCTCTCTCCTCTCTCCAAACATAACCTTCAAGCGATCAGCTGATCGCGACATTGCGTTGTCTGTTCAACAAAACACTTCCCCATTTTTATTGTCGAGTAGAAAAACTGATTGAACGAAATTTCAGAAGTGATTGCAATGCGGTGTACATCGAAAATCGGAGTTTCATCGGTCACGAGTGCTTTTTCAACGCGTGAGTCATTTTATCTGCTCCAAATTGTTGTGCTTACGTGAGGTACATTATCAAAACATGATTTTGCTATTATTGATGGTATGTGTTGAGCACAGGTGTTTGTCGAAATCCTCTGAATACTCGATTGTTGTCGGCTGTTTCTCAACCCAAATTGCAGAATAATGGGAAACCGAAGACTGGGATTTTGATGTTGAACATGGGAGGTCCCAAAACAACGGATAAAGTTGGCGAGTACTTGCACAGGATCATGACAGATAGGGATATGATGCAGTTGCCGATGCAGAGGTATTAATTAGATAATTAATTATTCGGTGTAATGCAGACCACTGGGGGGAGAGGATTTTTTTTTTCTTGCGTTGGCAATATTCCGTGGACTAGTGATGCGATTTCATTGAATTTCATCTTGTTTTGATGATCGCCAAAAGACCTTGGAAATGAAATTAAAATGATTGATTTCCACTCTGCCACTCCGGAGATATCGGGGATTGAAAATTGGGGTTTTTCGTTTGGTATTTCCGCGTCAACTTTTGTTTCGGGACAGTTATTTAAAAATATCTCGAGATTGAGAAGAGATACGGAAATTTTTGTGAAGTCCTTTTTCGAAGAGAATCGTAAGAGCTACGAAAAAGGTAATTATGGAATTTTTGTATCTACGGTAGATTTGGCGACATAAATTAAAAACTCATCGCGAAGTTGAAAATGGGGTTTTTTATTCTATCAGTTTTTTTCCGGGCGGTCTATGAGAAAAATCTCAGTATAGAAGGGAAATACGCGAATTTCCGTAAAGATCTTTTCCAAAGAGAATGATCAGAGCTACAAAAAAAGTTCCCACGAAATTTTTCCATCTACCGTCCACTAAGAGACCCACATAAAAAACTGAATTCGACAAGAAATTTCGTACAAATCGTCCCCAAAATCGTGGACAATTCCATAGAATCATCGGGATTTATTCCCCCGTCGTCCTAGTCGTCTAGGTCCTTGGATCGCCCGAAGACGAACACCCGAGGTCCAGAAAAAGTACGAAGAGATAGGTGGAGGTTCGCCAATTTTAAAATGGACTAATCTTCAGGGGGAACTTCTCTGCAAACAATTAGACAGATTGTCCCCTGAGACAGCTCCTCACAAGCACTACGTTGCCTTTCGTTACGTCGATCCCCTCACCGAAGAAGCATTGCAACAAATAGAAGAGTGAGAACTCCATTAATTTATCCTCTTCCCTCTCCCTGGTAATCTTATTTATTTTATTTCCAAGGGATGGAATTGAACACACCGTGATTTTCTCGCAATATCCCCAGTACAGCTGCGCCACCACTGGCTCCAGCTTCAATGCTATTTACAATTATTATAAAACAAGGTGAGCATTTAATAGTTAATAATACCAATTAATTCTCTCCCCTTATTAATTTTCCATTCAACATCCTTTTCCCTCGATTCATTTATCCTGGAATATTTCCGTGTATTGAAATAAAAATTGAAGTCTTGGTTTTATTTTATGAGAATTACGAGTGGAGCAATCCACTCTAGGAAAAATTCCATAACTCTTCCATTTTTATCAGAGAAATCCCGAAAAACATGAAGCTGAGTGTTATTGATCGTTGGCCAACGCATCCACTGCTCGCTAAAACATTTGCGGAGAAAATTAAGGGAGAATTGAAGGAATTCCCAGGGGATGTGAGAGATAATGTTCACATACTGTTTTCGGCGCATTCACTTCCTCTCAAGGTAATTGAATTAACAAAAGGAGTATTTAATGGAAGAGAGAAACGCTAACTCAACAATGAATCCACAGCCACTGATTTTTTTTTTATCCCGATGAATTATTAATATCGCAGAATCCATTAAAGAATTATTTCTGGGGCGGGAATTTTTACTGATGTAGGCCAATCTTTCGATTCCACTTGCTTTCCAATTTTAATAATTGATTATCCACCCTCATAATTCCCTCTAAAATCGGGCCATTCCGATCATTCATTTGCAGATTATGTTGATTTAGGAGTTGAATTTCGGGTGGACTCAACAGAATATTTTCGTTGAGTCAATATTCATTTCGAATTGATAATTCTTTCTATTATTCATCGAAACGTCAAATTTTCACGTTAATAATCCACTTTATTGATTAATTGTTCAGTGATCAGAAAGGGAATTGCACATGATTATAACAAATTATTGAAAAACTGAATTAATAATTTTTGTGGAATTCGATGGACGTTGGGAGGAATTAATAATTAGATTCATTCACAGCGGTTTAGCGAGGTTTACGTCATGAGAGCTGTAACGCATGTTTTTCGCGATAATGCAATAATATTCCGGGGCTTCTGAATTATCGTGGATTATTGAAGGTGTCCTATGGAATTCTGTTGCTAAGTCGAAATCAAAACAATGTGTTGAGCTGTCAGAATGAATCGATATCAAAATAAATGTCAATATAAAGACAGCTTCGTTCCATTTCTTCAAAAGATTATCATTTGTGTTGATAAATATTGACGTGAGAAATTCTTCTCTCGTAATATTTCAGGTAGTCATTGAAATGTATACAATGGATGAATTTATTGTTGATGCGGCAGAGTGAGAATTTTAATCTCTTATTTTCGTGACAGGCTGTGAACAGAGGGGATACGTACCCCAGCGAAGTGGCAGCAACCGTGCATATGGTAATGCAAGAGTTGAATTACTGCAATCCGTATCATCTCGTGTGGCAATCCAAGGTACGGCCCATGGCACAACTCGTGTTTGTGTCTTCCCAGCTATTTATCATAAAGGATACAAATGACATGTGACTCTCTCGTAGCTGGGTTAATTAATGACCGTGAATTCACTTTACCGTAATTGAACCACTCATTTGCTATTTTCATTATTGACCGTGGACTTGTGATTTTTTGAAATTAATGCAGCTGCTCTTCAATCATGAAAATTGCCGATTGAATTGTATTTTTAATTGACGATCGGATGACGTCATTGAGACTGCATTTTTTAGGAATTCAATATTTCAATTTTTTATCACCCGAACGATAAAATTGAGTTGCGCAATTTTATTGAATAGAGGTGATTGAGTTTCGCGAAGTTTTTTTTAGAGATATCTGGGAATGTGGGAGAGTTATGAGATTTTTGTGAGAACCTTTTTTGTAGCTATCATTTCCCTCTGCAAATTAGGTTCTATCAAAAATTTCGGTATTTCGCCTCGATAGAGAGATATCCGTCGAAAAGAGAACCGAAAAAAATGTTGAATGGTTAGGAATCAATTTTTAATGAATTCCCTGATTTTAGGTGGGTCCTCTGGAGTGGCTGGGGCCATTAACAGATGCAGCGTTGAAAGATTATGTGAAACAGGGAAAAAAACACTTTATCCTTGTGCCAATAGCTTTTGTTAACGAACACATAGAGACGCTCCATGAAATGGACATCGAGTACTGCGATGAATTAGCCAAAGAGGTGCATTAATCCTGATTAATTCTATTACCGTCACTTCGTGTTTTACTGATACTCGACATTTTTATTTATAGTTGGGTATTGACAGAATCAGGAGAGCAGCTGCGCCGAACGATCATCCTTTATTCATTGATGCTCTGACTGATATTGTTGTCAGACACTTGCGATCTCAACAAGCCTGCAGTCCTAAATTTCTCACGAGGTGCCCCCATTGTGTCAATGATAACTGCGGCCCGAGTAAACAGTGGTACCAAAAAGTTTGCAGAATTTGAGAAAAACTGGGGAACATCTATCAATAATTATAGCATCATCCATTATTATTCTTTTTTCATGGTAACGGGGTTTGCAGACTGGAAATTGTTCATTAATTAAATGTATCTGGGATTATTTAGTTATTTTTTTTATTGTATCATCCTATTATAACCAGAGAAATTGATAAAAACTCAGAAAATTATTCTAATTCTAATAACCGATATATACGATCAATAAAACAATAATTTTCAATAATTCAAACAATTGATTCTTTTTCAATAATTTTTACCTCCCCAATTTTCCCAGTTATCTCCATAATTAATTATTGCAATTGAATAATAAAATGAACCAATCGCTTTTTTTTGGAATTTAATTATCTGTTCAAGAAATAAATAAATAATTTATTTGAATTCTCATTTTCCAGAGTCAAGCGATCGTGAATTTGCTCGAGTGCTGGATTTGAATTCGTCACCGGTGTGGTGTTACTCCGCGCAACGGCATGTCTGCGCAGGCGCGCAGTTGCGTGCCTGTGCTGACGCGCAGTTTCGTGCGTGCGCCGGCGCGCAGTTGCCCCCACTGAGTCCGACGGTTGTCGGCGTAACTGTCAGTTTGTGTCATGCATTGGTGGTGTGCGGGTCAGTGATGGCGGCGACAGTGCGGTTGAAGATGCAATGCGGCACGTTACCCTCATTATTCCTCATCTACATCATCCTGTGGTGCATAAACATTGTTAGTGGAATGTTGTTCGAGCATCGAGAGTGCAGCCATCAACACCCCAAGGCGCATGAGGTGAGTTTTAACAACAATTTCACTACCACCCCATCACAATGTCCAGTCTAACCTCTTTTCGGATTTTTTTCGAGTCACCCTTGAATTTTTTACCTTTCCCCGAAGAAATTTACACCCTCAATCCCACCAACCCCTCCTTCCCCACCTTCCCCACCTTCTCATACCTCCCCCAATGCCTCGAAAATTACACAACTAGCCCCCCCTATCCCTTTTTTTTATTGCTCGAAATTATTTTTCGGGGAAGGCGTCTCTCCTTGATTCCGGGAAAAATGACATTCGCGCTGGCGTTTTGTTTGTTATTGATGGATTATTTAATAATGGAAATAACGAGACACCGGTGGAAGCCGCGTGTGTTGTATCAGTCACGTGATAAGAGACTGTTTACGTTTTTACCTGTGTTTACTCTCACTTTCCGGGGGGAAAGAAACCGCGGAAATTCCGGATATTTGGGGTGAAAAGTTTGGGGATTTATGGGACGTCTGGGGAAACTCTCATACCCTCTGAGGAATTTCGGGGAATTTCTCGAAATCAATCTCCATTGAAAAATTGATGGAAATTGTTGACAATCGTACAACCAGTCATTGACAATTATATCTATATAATTAATTTTTATCATTGTTATTATTATATGCATATTGTTGTCAAAGACGTGAATGAAAATTATGTCAAAATATTCTTTGCGAAATCCCCAAAATTCGTAATAAATAATTGGTATATAACCATAAATATTAGTTAATAATTTATAAATATTAGAGGAGAGTGGGGGAAAATCTAATATCCATTTGTTAATTCTTTAGATATCACTGAAAATTTTTCAAAATTCATCCAATTGAAATACCTGATATTACATTATTTAATTAACACACAGATCTAAATTAAAAATATCAGAGTTTTAGAGTATTTAACCTTTCAATAAAAAATAATGAGATAAAACCAGATGTTTAATATTCATCATCTGGAGATAAAAGCCTTTGGGGTATTCTCTCGTTTTTGTCGTCTCGAATAAAAATACTTTAATTTATTATAAATGATAAAATATTGAGTCTTGAAGGATTGGAAATATTTTCTGGATTATTAAAAATTGAATTAATGGATATTCATATTTAATTCAGTTGAATTAAAATTAATTCAATGAATAAAATATGAACGGTCGGTCTGATTGTCAAATTTATTCATATAAAAAAATAATAGATTCATTGTATAAACTCTTTCTATCTAGTCTTCCGTGGAATCCTCGTGACGTATCGTAGTGAAAGTTTTTTGGGTGACAGCCATCGAGCGATGAATTCGAAGACAAGTGTTACTTAACGGAGAGATAGTGTTTGCATTGAAAAAATAAAACATGATCTCTCCTAATAAAATTCCATTCACGTTTGTTGCTAATAAAATTATTGTTTTGCCTCCGCTGAATTGAAAATTCAAATCAATTGAGAATATCAGGGGGCAAGTAATTATTTTAAATCATTCGACTGCGATTGATATTTAACGATTGGATGATTTTTTTTATTGAATTTTGCACGAATAATTTTTTCAATTACTCGTGGGATATTGAATCGAAAAATATGACGATTTTATAATGACAATTATTTTACCATCGGCATTCCTATCGATTCTCACGGATAATGAAATTTTTGACAGAATATTACGGACAAGTGTCTTGTTGGAATGTATATTACGTACATACGGCGCGTGCCATGAGCTAAATTTCTTGGTTCATGACTCGCGTTGGGGAATTATTCCTAGAAATACATGAGCGGTATTAAATACGACTCGAGGGTTCTGATGTGGGTTAAATCTGCTTGGAGTAAATAATTAAATAATCATTGCGCTGGAGAAAAAAATTATCCCTCAATTTTTGCGCGACTTATTTTTTCTAACTTTAAATTGTTTATTAACAAATTGACGAGTGAATTTCCAGATTTTCATCGATTAATTGAAATAATTAAAAGACAAATAATTAAATTGCCAAAGAAAATACATCTTAGAAAAAAAAACTTTAATTTGAGCCATAATATTTTTTAATTGTCAAATTTTTAATTATCGAAAGAAACAAAATAATTTAATTAACCCGATAAAATTCTGAAAGTATCTCGACAAATCTCTGACTAAATATGAATCCTTTTAAATTAATATAATTAAACCAAATATTTTTTCGGGCAACATGCATATTTATTTTCCATTACGCAAATTATTCCAGAATTTTTATTTATTCTCCGCGTGCGGAGAGAAATATTTCTCGCCTCTTGATTGCGTTTTCATGACTCGAATTCGGGGGATGATTAATGACTGATATTCATATTCATTATGAGAATCAAGTTTTATGAGGGGTGGAAGGGGGGTGTGCATTGATTATGCCGCCATTAGCAGGGGGAGGGGGGACACGTTGAGATGACAAATATTGGGGGGAGATATGAGAGTTTGTTGAGTGAGTGCATCCGGCTCTTTTGGCTTTGATTACTTTTCATTTATCATATGCCTCTCATATTCAACGGTGCATCAACATAATAGCTTCTGTGTTACACGCTCCGATTGCCATTCGGTAATTATGACATTCCCATTTTCATGAATTCCAATTTGAAATTGCAGCCATTTTTTTTCATCCGGCTAACAAATATTGTCCACGAGAAAATATTTTCTCATCAATTTTTCGTCTGGGGCTTTCTGAATTTGTCGGTCATTTTTCAAATATTTCTTCTCAGTGATTATATTTGTCGGTAAATTAACCTCGGCTTGTTCAATTAATTGGCTTCTGGTAATTATCTATGGAATGGTTAATTAATTTTATATTCATGTCGTAAAAAAAGAGGGGAAATCTGATGAGAAGCGAGTGACGATTGACCTTCAGTTTTGACCCGCAATATTTTTTGACCCACAACTTTTTTTTTTCATTTTCACCATCTATTTGATTTTTTATTCTTTCGGCGATCAATTAACACGAGAAATTGAGAAATTAGTTATTGAATTCTGATAGTTATAATTCAATTATTAATTTTGCATTCCCTTCCCGCAAATCTATGAACATTTTCTCTTCTCCACTGGAATATTAAATTACTGTAATTATATTTGCAACCCGTTATCACCGAATAATTCCCATATCAAATTTCACCTCTGATTCTGTATCATCCAATACTGAGACTCGTGAGACTCGCGGCAAAAATGAAACCTTCCGATTCATCAATATTCCCCGGAGCCTGAAATAGAAAAACAAATTGCGAAAAAAAAATCACTGAAACCCAGAAAAAAAAATATTAATTGAAATGGAGCCGGCAGGCAGGAGGAATTATTTTCCGGGGAAAGTCAGACTGAAAATTGTTCGGGGTTTCAATTTTTCAAAAATGCCGGAAGCCAGTGCCGGATGTCTATTAAATTTCATCCTGCCATTTTTTTTTTCCACTCGGTTTTTGCGGTTTTTACGCAGCGGTGAGCCGCACCAGAGATATGATATCGCATAAACATAATTGATTTCACCTAATTAAATCATTACGCTGTAATCATTGACGAGTAATTAATTAACCATTCATACACAGATGTCATGTGAAAAGCCGATAATGACTTGCCAATATTAGTGATATTGTTAATAAATATCTGGCGTACAATGAAAAATAATTCGGGGAGTATTTATATATTTTTTATATATCTCCAGAAATATATCTTAATTGTATATCAGGATATACTCCGCGGACATTTCGGCAAGCAAATGTATTATCTCAGATATATTTTGGATATACTTAAAATATTTAGATCCTAGTACAAAAATTGGGAAGAAAATCGATCTCGAAATATCTCGAATATCTCGAAACATCTCGAATGTATCGAATATCTCGAAATATCTCGAAATATCTCGAATGGCCATAAGATTGAGATTCGTACGATGAAACCGACCCACCACCACCAAAATGAAAAAAATTCCAAAAATGTCAAAAATATAGAAAATGGCGAAAATTGGAGAATCATCGCGTAAACTTATAGAAGCTCCAAATTATTGGACAAATTTTTTTCCCTTCGTGCGGTATCTATCAGCCATAAACTGTTTTAGTAGAAATAAGGAAACTCGAATAAGTGAAGCCTGGGAAATGAATTATGCGACGGTTATTGGCTGTGGGCCAAGGGGTTTACTATGAAAAGTCAGCAGGAGGGAAGGTTTTGCGTTATACCCGGACGCCTGAGGTGCTCCATATAGACCATGTGTACACATTTCGCCTCCTGGGGCTCCTTTTGGCTTTGGATTCCGTTTTCCCCCGGCTTGTCTTATTTCAATGTTTTTTTTTTCCTCTTTTTTACTCATACTGACGTATCTAAACGGTAGACCAGTATCGCACACTCATTTCTCTTTTTTTCTTCCACTT